GTATATATTTTTCCATCGTGTTTTTTCGGAACCTATTCTGACGTTTTATGCTCTGAGGAGTGTCAGACGAAAAAGCTTTTAGTATGTCGTAAAATGTTTGCTTTTTTCAAAGCCATTTTAAAAATTATTAAGTATAATGATAACGGGGCGGGACGGGGGATGAGAACTTATCCCTGAGTTCGATTTCTGAAACCTTAGAAACAAAGTCCATCCAATAAATAAATTTTCCAACAGCTATCCATGCACTGCGAGAAACTATTAGTTTTGCAGTTGCAATTTGGCAGTCGATTGCAGACAAACTTAATAATCTATAGTGAAACATAAAAAAGAAAATCGTACAAAATAAGAAAGTGATCAACTTATATTCACTTCTATATATAATTTCGTAACCACAGAAAAGCTTACTTTGAACGTGCTCTAAAACCATCTTAAAACAAAAAACTTAGCAATAACTAAGCTAGTAAATGGATCTTGCTTCACATGTAAAGAAATAGATATTGATTTTATATTCTCCCACACCAACGAGGCGGCATTTTTAATGCCTGAATATTTTCAATACCTTTGTTATTACTTTAACCAGCTGCTCCGTATTTGATGCTTCGGTTACCTGGGTGACATCCACTACCAACATGTTGGGTAAACTTGGGCTAAAACGAAAGTGGGGCTCGTTGATTAGTTAGACAAAGGTGAATTGTTTTGTAGTGACCCTACATAGGCCTGTTTACCATATTTTTTCTTGTCTCTAGTTCATCCCTTTAATTCTAACACCACTGGAAGTAGCATAAGACAAAATATGGCCAGGATATTCCATCGATGTTAAAACACTTAGGGAAAACCATTTTTCAGTAAAAATACTTTGTACTTAAACATTTATTCAGTAAAAATACTTTGTACTTAAACCTTTATTCAGTAAAAATATTTGTTCTTAAACATTTATTCAGTAAGAATACTTTCTCGAATGGAGTTCTTAGAATTTTGACCACCTGGCCCTCACCAGAAAACCGTTACAACGACTAGGTATCGGTTAAAAGGACAGTCTAACAGTACTAAAAGTCTCTTTCTTTATCTTTTTCCTTAAATCTCTTAATTCACAAATCAACCTTTCATCAAATGAAAGCGAGAAAAAACTCTTAAAAGAGACAAAATGATAAAAATTAAGATCCACAGCTGTATAAATCTTTTGCTCTTGCTCTTTAAGTTGTATTTTTAAAACCCTTGAGTTTAAAAGAACAGTCTTCTTCTAGGAGTGGCAAAAACAAGAATAGACACCTTAAAACTGAGCAGCTTGCAAACTCTGTTAGAAATTTTGAATCACATAAATACTGTTGGGAAGGGGGACTGACTAGACAAACAAAACCAATTAAGCACCAAGAATTTTGCTTTCAAATATCTCCATTCGCTTTATTTTTATAATTATTATTATTATTATTTGAAAAATGAAGAACACGACTTCCATGAAAACAAAGGTTGCAAGAAATTTCAAACAGATACAGGGCCTAATAAATTACATAACAGTCGTGTTCTTCGATAACTAAAGACTTACATGGCATTTTTGTTGGCAGCTGCAGAAGAGCAGATTTTGGAATGAACTTCCAATTCAGTTAAACTGCAAAAGATAATCGGAAAATTTAAGTTTTACAGTAGCAGTAGCAAGCTCCATCATTAAAAAAGTAAAAAAAACTAAATTTAAATTAAATTTGCACCTGAGAAATGTAATTTTGAGATCAACAAATGCTAACTTCTGGTTTCAAAACAAAAATAAAATTAACAGTGAAAACATCCATTTTTAGATTATTTCACATTTAAGAAGCCGAACTTTCGAGGCACACAATGATATCAAATTTGAAACAAACAGAAATTTTGAAAATGGAGAAAATCACATGTAACGAATGTTTCCATAATTTCTTTATGAGAACTTTTAGTTGAGGCCTGAAAATATCTTGACCTGTAGTGTTAAGCCAATTATCGTTGCTTTGCGGTTGTGGTCGCATGTCTCATTTACAATATCGCATGGCACATCCATTTATCCCATGCACGGCCGTATTTGTTTAAACAGGCTTATAAGCTTCTGGTGTCTCGACCCGGATTACACTGTGGTTTACGAGTGTGCCTTGCAAGCGCGATCAGTAAAATCCCGTTTTTTCCGGACTCAAAAACCTCTACATACAGGTACGAAAAAGCTATTTTGTACCCAAGGAACCAATCGAATGGCTCAAAAATTTGCACACGGCCAGGACAGATGTCGGGTAAGCAAAGATTGTCTCAAAATTTCTGTGTTTACTCTGGTCCGTCTTTTATAGCCAAATACAGCTATGAGAGGGAAGAAAAATTGTTTGCCTTTGACAGGGTACAGTTTCAAGGGGAGGAGGAATTTGTAAAATCTGAGACCCACTTTGATAGCTTATGATCTGCGCTTTCTACTGATATAAATCATATTTTGATATCTCAAACGCAAGGGTAAAAAATAGCTTTTGAAGATGGTACACGCATTTAAGCAATAAATTTGCCTGGAAAGTATCATTTTACAATATGCCAATTATTTTGATTTGGTTGGAATCGCCACATTTTTGTGCATCGAATGATGTATAGCTTAATCTGATTCCATAAATAGTTTGGCTTTTAGGGAGAGAAAACCAAATATCGTGTCAAAGACTAAGGAACAATTTTCTGACGCTTTTCGCTGGCCATTTAAATTTCCTATCGTTATAACTACAAACAAAAGATCTATCGTTAAGTATCCAATCGGCTAAGTCTCAATGTTCTATCCATCATAAACGCGTTTCAAAGCCTATTGTTAACTCTAAACGGTTAACTGACTTGACATGATGCCTTTAAAGACTCATTGCTCACAATGAGGCATTGCGCTACGCAAGCATCCCATAATGCATTTTCAGACAGTCTGAAATCAATTATGATTAATCCGTAGAAGTTTACTGCCATTGTTTGGATTGTCGCCTGGATAATTTGCTACCCTCGCAAAGGCTCATTGTTATAAATGAGTCTTTAAAGGCAAAACTCCAGCCTAATGTTATTTGTGCTTTACCTCATTGTAATAACCTCATTGTGCTTTTTAGAGGTTAAAATTAGTGCACGTTTATCTGGAGTTTGGAGAAAGGCAGAACCGAACAGTATCAATAGCAGGGAGCATGAACCAAGAAGGGTGTCCTATAATTCTTTGAAAGTGAATGACCTTTGCTGAAAATTGAGATCATCGAGAGTTTCATGTTGTAATCAAAGTAGATCTGATTATTAACCAACAAGATTGTGTTGTTACAAATCATGAACACTTCTCTTTGATTAATTTTCACCACAGTGTATAAGCGCATGCCTGAATAGAGGTAAACGGTGAATAATTTTTAGCATCGTTGTGTAAAAAATCGGCTCATGTACTAAAAGAAAGTCTAACTTGCAACGGTGAGGTTAGAGAAAGGAACAAGCAGCACAATATACTGTTGTCTAGAAAATTCTTTGTTTATGGCTATCAAATTCTATTTATGCTAGCAGGTTGCTAAATTCTAGATGCACCACAGGCACATTGTCAAAGTAAACGGTTTACTGATGAAAGGGGCAAAGTTCATTCAACAGAAATTAACTTTATCTTTAAAAAAACGTCAACTGGACTAAGATATAATCTGGCTATAGGCTAGTTTAATCAAAGCTTTTAGCCAGCATGCAGAAAAATATGATGATTCATTGTAAGAATCAATTATTATCAATTTATTGATTTTGAAATGAATAAAAAACATACTTGATTTTTCGCGAGCAAAGTGTACAAGAAAGCTGTATTTCTTCCTCCAAGATATCTTCTTGCTATAACAGAAAGCAAGTCGTATAGTTCAATGTCACCTACACTCTCTCTTAACAGTTTACCGCATGTGAAAATCAATTATACCCAGTGAACCACACAGATTTTGCTCTTTAAATTTCATTGTTGACTACCAAGATTTCTATAAAATTATCAAAACAAGTGCAAACGTAACCAAACTTTTTGTATAACATTGATTTGAGAAAGATAATTGAGGATTTAATGCCTCAAGCAGTGGCAGACATTTGGGGGGACAAGGGAGGGGCGATCGCCCCCCCAAATACTTTAGAGAACAATGGTCTTTTGTTCTAAAACAATGGGAAATGTGACATCATCTTATTAAAACAATAGGCTTGCCCCCCTAATATTTGACCAAGTGTCCGCCCCTGGCCCCAATTATATGCATAATTAGTAAATTTCTTTCCAAAATGTCATTTTGAATTTTCTTACCTTTTCTAGTGGTTTTTCTAGCATCTTCAAGAAAACATCAACATCAGGATCCGAACAGTCACTTCTAGCAGTCCCTGACTAAATAAGACAGAGAAAATTCAATAAAATTTAAACTGGTTATTATCAGTTGGTTCAGATTATTAAAGGAAAATATTACAAAGGGCTACGTAACAAAGGGCTATGTTTGAACTCGGGAGAGACAAGAGAAAAAGATGTGGACATAACTGCAAAATGATTAACTCTACTGTCAGAAACGGGGTGACTGCCTGTGTTAAAATGACACTGGGCAGATAATAAGATTGAGTATTTTTTGCTATCCTATATAAAAGTTTACAACAAGGAATTACCAACTAACAAACTTTTATACAACCCTACGAAGACAGGAGCAGGAGCAGAATATCATGACTACCCCCCAGTGGGGTCGCATGGCCATTCTTGCTGGGGGGAGGGGGTGTAAGAGATGCAAAACCATATTTTACCAACAGAAATTATTTTGTTACATTGATATTTTGTTATAAATTTAATTCCACCGACGAGTTCTCCTATGCAGGGGGCGTACACCCCCCAACACCCCCCGCATGCTATGCCCCTGCTACCCCCTGGCTTTTTACATGTGGGTATTTCCAGAGTAACTGATAATTGATTATAGCCACTGCTTTGCAAATATTGATTAGCTCAAAGAAAATTCCATCAGCAGCTAGCTAAACACATTTCATGGTAGCAAGTTGTGTTCTATGTGCCCTGCTATAGGACTTGAGGTGGGAGTTCCCTTGGTTCATGTGAGCTTTAGAGACAATAACTTGATGTTTAGAGGTAAGAAATGTCATTAGTACAGGACAGACAAGTGCCGTATAGTATGTTATTACAGACCTTTTACATGCATGTTCTTATCAGTGCAGCAAGGAAATATGCATTTATAAGACAGTGAATCTAGACTTTGTACCTATTATATTAAATGCAATTCAGTTGAGACATAAGTTTGGAAATCATACCCTAGCCCTTAAGGGTCTTGGTGATTTCCACATTCTTGGCGAGACCGGTCTTGGTGATGCTGGGATACTGAGAGAAAGTGAGACCTGCTCTTCTCCTCCATTCCAGCTTAAACTATCCAACAAGCTAAAAATCAAAATCTAGGCCAATCAAAATTAGAAATCTTAGATATTGTGGCAAACTGAGTTTCCAATTACATACCTTGAAAATGATATGTGGCGGACACCATGGAGGGGCAATGGGGGGGCAATTCCCCCCAATATTTTGGAAGACAATGGTCTTTTGTTATAAAACAATGGGAAATGTGATGTCACCTTATCAAAACAATAGGCTTGTCCCCCTAATATTTGATCAAGTGTCCACCACTGACTACAGATGTGTAGTGCAGGATTGCTGTAAGTTGCAACTCTTGAGTCTTGCTTTACGTATATAAAACAAAAGAATAGGGTAAATATTCAAAGCATATGAAAGACAATGGCAGATTGATATGAAACAAAAGAAAAAGTAAATAATACAGCACCTTTGTTAAATAACACCACAAAAACATGGCTTTCAAGCTTGACAGCTAGGAAAGTCTTTTAGATAAACATAAAAGAATCAATGTTACTGTCACCTAACTTGCTTTAGATAGGTCATTCACCATTTCTGCTAAATTTACTACCTCATTTTTCTTGTTAGATCTGTTTTGACCCTTACAAGCATAATAACAAAACATTGTTAATGATTTGAAAAACAAATTAAAACTTGAAATGGTCATACGTCTAGGGGACTTGTCTTTGATGCTAGTAACAAGAGACATTGGATGAGGAGGTATTATTCTGCAAAAACCTACCCATCATTTGTTAGTCTCAGTTCTTGAAGCTGTGCCCGAAGTCTTTTGTTTTCATTTGTCAACTGCAAAAAGAAAAGTATGTCAGATAAACAGGACAACATAAACCACTTTTGCTCTAATGAAGCCCCATATGCCAGGGAAAAATATCAGCCATTACTGATTTATGTGTGATTGTTGTTGTTTATTCTTATCATGTTGTGATGTTACTTATTTACTACATAAATCCACAGGCTGTAAAATCACAATAACTAAATAGGACTTGATGGAATCTAATTAAAATGCTTTTGTTACTTCCCTAAGAATTCCATTATATCAATTGACACATCCTCAGAAATACAAGGTCCCACTTAAATGTGTTATGGTTCTTATCAAAGGGATTTTTACTCCTTTATTTCATTTGTAAATAGAGCAATTGCTAATTTGAGAAATGTAACAGAAAGATAAACAATCAAGATCTTGTTGTAAGTTAATAATAATTCTAGGTAATTTATTCCATGGTCTGAGAACATAGCAAAAGTTTGACTAGCAGTAAACTCGAAACAGACTTTCTCAGGATGCACCAATTTTTATGAAAATTAATCTCAACTTAAGATTACTAAATTCCTAAGGCTAAGGGACAAGGGAGAGTTGTGACCAAAAGCCCTCTTTAAATAAAGCCATATTAGACTAATTTTCATTTCTGCCAACAACTTTGAAAGCAAACTTTGATGGAAGAATGTACAGATAACTGGTTGTACAATTTCCAGGCTATATAATGCGCATTTTTGCAAAAACCTCGAGAGAGAACTTGAGAAAAAGCTATGAAAACAGTTTGATGCACCAAGAAAATGGTCAGAAATTTTTGATAGTGGAGCATGTCTGGTTTGTGCATTGCTTTGAAAAAACTGTCGAGCAGTTTGCATGTTCTGCTAGCAGGTGTTAGATGCCATAAAAAGACACTTTCCTCCAAGTAAAATGCATGATCAAAAGAAATTTGAGGGTTAGGTGACATCTGGATATTTGGCTAGTGCACCTTTGCATGTCTCCTGACATTTTCGCTGGACTGGTGTAACATTTATATGCCATAATGCTACTGCAAACATTTTAGTGCATTTGACCATCATTGTTTTTCTAGGCCTTGCTTAGTCTCAAAATCTTGTTCTGACATAAATTAGTTTCAAGCAAACATAACACATTTAAAATTGGCGGAATTTGAACCTGCCAGAAACCAGGAAGTGGACTTCGCCAACAATTAGCGTCTGGTTTGTGTTTATGACAAAAAATGACGTAAAAATCAAATTTCTTAGCATTTCAGACTTCTTGCATTTTTTGAAAGACAGCAGAAAAGACAAAAATATCAGCATACAAAGAGAATTAATATTTTTTTTCACGATTTATCGCAAATTTTAGTACTTTTTCATTCATCTCATCTTTTGGACTTAAATGAAAAAACCTAATAGGCCTAGAAAAATATTTAGGCTTACTTCCTTGATGATAGCTTCTTGCCTCTTTGTGAACTCTGTACCGCAGCTGCACTCCATGTAATGGCAACAGGATGTATTTTTACCGCCATTGTTATTGCTGTCATTAACAGGTTCACAAATCTCGACACTATCAGCTAAAATGTAACCCTTAGCAACGGCAGCGGACTCGTCCATGTCAACCTCAAAACCAAAGACACTGTCACCATCTTCATTCGATTTTTCCCGGGAAACTCTTTCAACATAAATAAGTCTCTTATCCACCGGTATTTCGATGGACTTGAATACATCACCCTTCAGAACATTGAGAAAATTGTCATGAAATACAGATTTGTTTGGGGAAGAAGTGCTAAGGCCTAAATCGAATTCGATGCCTGAGTCCAATCTTCCAAGAGTCGATCCGTCTTTCAAATTATCGCGGGCTCTCTCAGTTCCCGGAGAGCCAACAATGGCTTTGTAGTACATTGCAGTCTGGTTGCTTCGAACTCCCTAGCATTAGACTGTCATACCACTTTCTGCAACCACTTTCAGCCGAGTTTTAGCCAGATCCTGCTGTCTGGTAATTATCATTTTAATGCCAAAGTAATTTCCACAAGGGAGCATTTCCACAAATCTTATTGACAGCATCATCTTCCGCTTCTTGCAGGTCATTATGTCACATGACCAATCTCCTCCACAGTTTAATTTTTTTTGGAAAGAAAAACATTCGAGCGTAAAGGTGTTGGTTTGAGCCTGTTTTAGAATTTATTACTGATTTTAGAGATGAAAAGAAAATTTGATCTTTAAATAGACAAAGTTGTAAGGCTTTTCCTTCTATAGTAGTAAATAAGGAACACCGCAACGCGACGAGAATGAACAACAAAAAACACACATAAATCAGTGATGGCTAATATTTCGCCCCTGCAGACGGGGCTTCATCAGAGCAAAAGTAAACGAACTTAACATTTGCAAATTTAAAACAGGCGTCACTGTTCTGGTGGTGTCAGATTGGTTGATATGGAATGGTGTGTAGATCACTAAATTCCCAAAGAAGTTTGTTTTCGATAAATATATTGCAGGCAGGCATGTCATGTTAACAATGTTTTATTGCCATGACCTTTACTGCTTTAGGGTGCTTAAAGTAATCGTTTTGATGTTATAGAAAAAAATTGAAAATTATTGTGCCAAGACAATGCCACTTCCTTCATGAAAATAACCGTTGTGATTTAGCTAAAATTCGCCCCACCACCAGAAAAATCTAGCTGCGTCATTGTTCTGTACGGCGATACCCAGTTTGGTGATGTTTCAAATGAGAACATTTTGTAAATAAGACAGACTCCAGTCAGAGACAAAGGAAGCATTTTAAAAATGGGGACACTTATACCCATTAAAGGAGCATCTCCATCATTAGCCTGCGCTTCAGACCCCTAACATGAAAGTTAGGGGTCTGGGACACAGACTACGTCATCATAAGCCGCAAGTAGGGACTTCCCCTGCTTCTGAAAAGTGGAGGGATGGCACGTCCCACGGACCCCTTTGTCCACCAGTCCTTCGTCTATGAGAAAAGTTCCAACCATATTAGTCTTTGAATCTCTTGCTTAGAATAAGAAAAGATAATACAAAAAGTGAAAAGCAAAATGAAATATGTTCATGTGAACAATAATAATACTAAATGCATAACTGAATTTCGTAAAATTACAAATATGGTTCTAAATTATCTATGCTAATTAATACAGAGTCCATTCCAATTTATCATAAATTATGAATATCATTCAATTCAGCAAGGGCAGTTAACTTTCTATTCTAGCATACAGCAGTTCTTTCTGCATCAAACACCATAGTTAACACCGATTTATGATTAACTCGCGGGCAATAGGACACCTAGGCCCAGTCCAATACGTATATGGATATTTCTAGCTACTTCATTGCGGAGTCAAAGATTTGTTTAATTCAATTGATCCGGATTCGTTCGATTAACCGGTTCTCAAAGTAGAACGAAAATCCAGCTTATTGTTTTGAATAATGACAGGTTGTAAGATTCTGGGAAACAGAGAGAGGGAAGAGCATTTGTTTATTAGATCTAGGGAGGAAGGAAGAGTTTTGGGACTGGGTTCGCGCGTTTGGCAAAGAGACTTGGAGAGGGTCATCACTGAAAGAGTGTCTGGTATTAAGTGCATGTCCCAGTGGAGCTGGGATCATGCCTCGGATCTTCTGAGAGCAATCGCCGTGGTAAAATCTATAAAAAATAGCGAGATCAGCGACACAGCGCCGATGGGAGAAAGGCTGAAGAGACTTGGTGGGGTTTCAGCTATTGACAAGGTGAAATCAAGCGCACTACATTATTTTGACTTCGCAGCGTATTCAAAATGTACCATTTGAATGCGGATAAGTGTAGACTGGACTTGAGATCTAGTCTGAAAAGAAATCTTGGGTTCAGAAATATCCGAATACGTGTGGACGGATTCTTTGCATTTTGATGCCGTTTTACGAATTCAAACGGTTAAAATCGAAATTATTCCAAAGAATCAGAATCTAATTTGTCTCCCAAAAAGTTTTTAACTGGAATTGCCTATTTCACACAATACTTGACTCATATACACAACACTACCGAAATTTTTTTACCAAAGTGCCATAAAATACTGCTTTCAAATATAATTTAATTCATCTAACTGCGAGGGGTGCCTTGGATTGTGGGTGGGGTGAGTGGGGCAAGAGTTTCTATATAAAAAAGTTTTTTTAATTTCCTTAACAGAAAAGGGTAACGTCGTTAAAAAACATCATTAACCCATACAGGTAATTTTCTTTTATTGAACAAATGAATAACAATGAATGGACCAATGATGAAAAACATGCAACTTTAGTGTCAAGAGTCCGTGTCGAAAATCTGCCGAGTGTACAAGATTCAAAGCAAAGTGTAATACGGGAGACAACAAAATTGCGATATTTCGGATCCTTCAGGGCAAAATTTGCTTATCGAAGACCGATATGAATGTAGTTTTAAAGTCGTTTCAACAAGCATCATGAAAATTCGGTGGCAATTCCTGCCAAAAGTTTTTGGAAGTTGCTAAAGAAAAAAGTTAACCGTTTCCGGGAGAAAATGCCGTCACCGCAGTTCTTCTTCGCCAAAATAATGTTTTCTGCGGGGTTATCTATCATGGGTGTCATCATGGGTGTCTGATTAGAATCAATTGGGGAACAACGAAGCCCTTAACATTATACCAAACAAAATCGTGGGGGGGGGGTGCTACTAATTAAAAAAAACTCATTCCTAACATGAGTATTTTTGTGTAGAAGGCCATAATGTTACGGGCCCTACTTAGAGTGGGAAAAATGCTTTCTGCGCCTACAATCATAATCCTAGTAGGGAAAGATGCCCAAAAGTAGGTTGTCGAAATTTTCCCCATATCTTGGTCCAGAAAGAAGAAACACTGAAGCAAATTCTGCTTAAAGAAATTGTGGTAAAATATGGTGGTAAAATGACTTGGAGGAGAAGTTCCTTGGTGGAGGGGGGATTTACAACAAGAAATTTCAACATGCAGCCAAAGAAATGCATGTTGTTATAGCATTATCTTACCAGTAAGTAGGTGCCAGAAAAAGCAAGATATGTCTAAAATAGGGTATGAATTTGATTCTACCCTTCTAGGCTGAAGAAATTAGATATTTTCGAAGGCATTCCTTGAAGAACTATGCAACGCCGATGGTGCAAGCTTATTGTTCAAAACATTTGGCATGCATAAGAATCTATGGCAAAAAACAACAGGACTGAGAAACAATACTATGGACCCTGGGGAATAATTTCATCTACCAGTTTGCTCAAAATAAGAATTTCAAATTTTTTGTTATTCATTTCAATGCTCATTTCAATGCTCTAGGGCATTCATAATAAACAAATGCAATCTACAGCAACTCTGACACTATGGTCAGGATGTGTTGGTTTAGAACGGGTTTATCAGACGTGTCCCCTTCCCCATTTGCTTGTTCGTTATGCCCAATTGCTTCTTGGAAACTATTCCCTAACATTGCAGACTAGAGGAAAACTACCAACCCCTGTATTAAAGGTAATAATTGCAACGCCAACTCACAACTATTCGCAATAACACGCTTTGCAAAGTTTAGCACCAGGAAATTTTATCAAGTTTCAATCGTCAGATTGCGTGGCTCATTACAACAGGATTTCTTCAAGAAAGTCCATGAATCTTGTTGCATAATATGCTGGGTTAACTGTTGAAATTTCTGCGCCAGCCTAGTGAGAGAATGAAGAATAAAATGAAAAACATTTAGTTGGAAGAAGATTGTCATTGACGTATAAACAGAGTTGCGAAATGGCGGGAGAATCGCATCGAGCGTGAAACTTGAGTTGCAACATAAAACTGTTCGGTCCTACACAATGAAAACTGTCATTTCAAAGAAAAAATGGATTAACACATTTGATTCACAAATTAATAAAAAATGCTGAAGCTTGCAAGAATTTGCTGCATCATACTTAAGGCAGGCAGAGTTGAAAATGTAGGCCAAAATGGTCGTATTATTCGGTACAATGCATACTTCTTCAAACTGCAAAGTTTCATCTAAGAAAACTGGAAACCACAACAAAGTACTTTTATAACATATTAATGCAAATATATGTTTGCCATATATTAATAATTTGCTTCGGTATAGCATACAAATCCGAAAATGAAACTTACACTAAACGTTTTTATGTGTAGAGAAGGAGAAGGATAGTTTTAAGCTGCAACTCTGAGTTTTACGCTGACAGTGATAATAAGGTGAACAATTTTTTTGCGGTACAGAATTTGAAAATGGCTTTGAAAAAAGCAAACATTTTACAACATACTTAAAGCTTTTTCGTCTGACACTCCTCAGAGCATAAAACGTCAGAATAGGTTCCGAAAAAACACGATGGAAAAATATATACCCAGTTGTGGATCGAAATAGGCCAATCAGAAAAACGCAAGCACAAGACCGGTATAGTTGACCAACCAGTGCCGCGAGCCTAAAGAAAAATTACCAATGGAGTCCAAGAGAGAAAACGAACTCCTTTTGTCTACACAATGGCGGCTTTTTCGTTTTTATGTAGATTGACTCCAAAACTGCTAGATGGAAGGACGACCGGGCTCTGCCAATTATCCGAAACATGTCGTCGTTATAGAGTTTTGCACAATCTGGGTTGTCTAAAAGATGTTGACCAATGGCAGAATCACTTGTTTTAACAGTGTTTCTAGACCTTACTCATGATTCCTTACCATTTTTAGATGTTTTGGTCGAAAAGTCTAACACTGGATTTCTTACCAGTGTATATCGCAAGCCTACTTTTACCGGTCAGTACATACGCTGGAATTCATTTTGCCCAAAACAACGCAAAGTCAACCTTGTCAAAACATTAGTACATAGGGCACTTATGATCTGCTCGAAATCTAAACTGCACGCTGAACTTGAAAAACTCAAAACGATCTTCTTGGACAACGGCTATCCTGAAGACGTCATTTTATCTTATACTAAGGAGAAGATCGCAAGTTTTTCGGCTGTTCAAAAGTTTGGTCCGCAAAAGTGCCCAGTTTATTTGAAACTACCATGGATTGGTAACACTTCCTTGCGATTCGAGAGTCAGATTAGGCCAGCCATAACCAATTGTTTCTTTGCTGTCAATCCTCGGATTGTTTACAGCACTAGGAGAGCCCTTCCATCCATTCAAAAGGATTGCGTCCCTACCAAACAAAAAAGTTCCGTCATTTATGAATTTACGTGCCAGTGTGATTCTGGCTACGTAGGGCGCACAACCCAAAGATTGGGGGATAGGATAAAACAGCATGTTCCTTCCAACATACGAAACAAAACTGCCCCTCAAAGAGAACAGCCTCCTCGATTATGTAGGTCTAGAAACACTGTTAAAACAAGTGATTCTGCCATTGGTCAACATCTTTTAGACACCCCAGATTGTGCAAAACTCTATAATGACGACATGTTTCGGATAATTGGCAGAGCCCGGTCGTCCTTCCATCTAGCAGTTTTGGAGTCAATCTACATAAAAACGAAAAAGCCGCCATTGTGTAGACAAAAGGAGTTCGTTTTCTCTCTTGGACTCCATTGGTAATTTTTCCGTAGGCTCGCGGCACTGATTGGTCAACTATACCGGTCTTGTGCTTGCGTTTTTCTGATTGGCCTATTTCGATCCACAACTGGATAATAAGGTAATTGCCAAAGCTGTGAAGCCCTGCCTAAAGGGCAACGGGCACTTTACAAAATTTCGGTAAAAGGTATTCTTCATTACTTATGCCCGAGGAGCCTTTTCATTCTAAACTCTCAAGATGACGAGGGGTTTTTCTATTGTCAAAAGATTGTTCTTAACTGGCCACCGATATTAACCAATAGGAAAAAAATAACACTTGATTGGCCCTCTGTTGACCAATCACAGCACCTTAAAATAGCATGGTTAGCAAGGAAGTGAATGAGGCAATTGGAGGTAAAAATGGGCAATAAATATAGAAATAATTGAGGTACATTATAATTTGAATAAAAAAGGAAAGTGAAAACATTTAAAAAACAGTATGTGGCAGACGATTAGTGCAACAATTGCGAGAAATGTCGAATTTTCTGCAGAGTGTAACAGTTTAAAAAAATTTGTGCTGATAATTATGATTTTGAGGTGCAAAATATTGATACGCGAATAGTGGAACGGATTTTTTAGTTAATTTTCAACTAATTTCATACCATTTATTAAAATATATACTTAATTATGACATTTTAGAGAAGACATCAAGTTTAAATGCAAGTGTTGATGCCTTTTCTTTGACGAAAGATAATTTTATAGGTATTTAAATTTTATATGAATGACCAAGTCATGAATAGGAGCCAAGACTAAATATATTTAAGTAGTCTATGTTACATCCTTAAAATATTATATCATATAATATCATATAAGTTTTAAGAAGTTTCCAAATAAGTTTTAAATAAGATAAAAGTTTTAATAATTTTCATTCATTAATGTTTTGCTAATGCGACATTTACTGGTGATAAAAGATATTAAGGCTCTATTAAGCATATTTATCTGCGTAAAATTAATAAACTTTATGACAGTGCTATAGAAAAAAAATTAATAAAAAACATGAAAAGCTCAGCTGTTTAAAGGGTAAACATAAAACATTTAGCACAAAATTCCATGACATTTTGTAAACTTATAAAAACTATTTATATTAAAGCTGGTGTTAATAAAAAATTATTGATATGTCACTATTTAAATTGCTCAAAAGAAATTTTTTATTAAAAAAATATTTACATCTTAAACATTGTTTATCAAAATAATTATCGATATATTATTATTTATATGTGTCAAGAGGAATGTCATGGATCCATAACAGTTTAACGATAAGATTTAATAATTTTAAAGAGTTTAGTAGTATCTGTTTTTGCAACTACTAAATTTACTTATTATTAAAATTACTTATTATTCAATTACTAAATTTCAACCTAAAGTTTTAACGAAACCACTGAAGACTTTTAAAAACGAAACATGGCTTGATAGATCTTGTTTCAAATTTAACTTTATTAAAGTTATACTTAATGAACCGCACCTTGCAGTTTGATTTGATATTTATCGAAAAAGAATGCCAAGTTGCCCGTGTATAAAGGCTGTATCAGATTTAAACATGATAAAGTTATATCATTGTTCACCTAGAATTCCAGAAAAACCACGCGCTTAAACGACAGCCTACCTCAGAAAATTGAAAGACGCGCGATGGAATAAACGCGGGATGGTACATACACGCGTTACATACACGCGGGCACTTACGCTTCAAAAAATGTACCTTATAATCCGGGGTTTCACTTTCCTCCGGAGATTTGCGGCTTCTCGACAAATCGGACGACTGGCGCCGAATCCTGCTTTTTACCTGTTTAAAATCACAGTTGATTTCTGTTGATGTTGATTCGATTAGGCAAATTTATTGTTTCTTATTTCTTATTATGTTATTTTTAATCATCATAGAGCTACATTGAGGCATTTTGCTGGAGCTCATCTCAGAAAACCATCACCGTTGGAAAAGCTAACAAAGTGGCGTGATTAACAAATCCTGTTTTCCTTCAAAACCATCTTCATCGGAGGACCCTCATTTCATCTTGGGATTTGAAAAAACCTCTAGAGAATGTAGCTCTAGGAATCCCCCAAAGAGATTCTAGAGAATTTATTAGCTAAGCACACTTGGGACCTTCCGGACAGATCAGCTCTTGGAATCCCCTTAATACTAGATACCAGAGCATCAGTGCACTTGAAATCTAATAGATCTTTTCGGCAAAAAATTTTGTAGAGAAACTTTAGATAATAGCTTTTGCAGACTGAATTTTTTTAAACAATGTACCACCATTTTAAAAGCTTGTAAGTAAAGAACAAGTTTATCAGAAACAAATGAGATTTCAACTTATTGAGTTCAAAACGCTTCTCGGTTAAATTCTCATTAATTTTCAAGCTGGTTCAATTTCTTTTCATCTTATACCAAACTTATTTTTTTAAGAATCGGCAATTTGTAGCATATATTTTTTAAGTCCGTGCAATATGAACCGGAAAATGAGTTTCTTATATGCAGGTCTTTACTGTAAGGTAAAACGATATGTTTGTTTCAGCTGTTACAGATTTTTGGCCTAAAAAGTAATATGGCCCAAACGAAGAAATATTGACTTGTATCTGGATTAGAAATAATAACTTCAAAACTTCGCAAAACTTAGAAATGTTGACATTCTGTTGTCTGAGCGACAGCACTTACAAAATACCTCCATGAAGTTGTATTGATGACTAATCGGTTAGCGATTCGAAGTAATTGCCAGAGAGCTGTTTATTTAAATCTTTATAGGTTAAAATTCAAAAAGTAAAACTCACACAGACAAATTAATTTACCATGTAAGTTAGTGTAAAATACCAAAAATATGCATAGAAGTAATGATTATGAGAAATGTGATTTTATGTAAATTTTAGATTTTATTAACACACAATAACCTTAGATTGTAATGATAGTCCAAATGGAGAGGTGAATAAACTTTAAACAATTTAAGTGCAGTGGAAACAAAGTAAACAGGTTTTAATGGCTTTATAGTGCCCATATTTCCTTATTAATTGTTCAATTATTAGCCTATTAAATGTCACACAAATAGAAAATTTCATGCTCATAGACATGGAAATTAAAGAGTTACTTAGTTATAGATGGTTTAACATCAATGCCATATTTTCTAGTGAGCAACAGAATCTGGAGTTATCAAGAAATGGTCTTGAAGTTTTTTATCAAAAGAAAATAGTTTTGATTCAATTGATTTATTCTAAAGGATTAATCACAATATATTAATCAATATTTAGTAAGCAAAATATCACAAAAATATCGAAGAACAAGAAACTTTATTATAACCAGTGATAAAATTATAAACAGTAGCAAATTATAATCTGTGATAAATCTAGGCATTAAGATAATCATTCACTTTTTACAAGCCACCGTCTAAATTAACTTGAAACGTCATAGAACTAAGTTTTCGGAGCTACAATAAGAGCAGCAACTACTTAGTTCATATGGAAATAATCACATTTCCAAGACCATGAGAGGTGGTGAACAGTATTTAAAAATCAGAATCATAGATGGTGAAGAAATTGTAATTGATCTTTGAAATGGTAAACATCGTAAGATTTTTGGGATAATTTCATAAAATGACTTACTCCATGTTTGACCGTTTTCGCGGCGTGGGCTGCCTTTTTGTTTGACCCATAATATGTGAGCACATCGATTATTCCAAGGTAATAAATTTCATGTTTTGAGTCTAAAATTAAAAAAAATTGAACAGGTATAGAATAAATTAATAGGTTATATGAAAGGGCATAGCTTAAAGTTCTCTGAATAACAATACTTCATGATAGTCAACGAAATCTATAAACATTTAAAACAGAACCGAAGATTCGTTGGATTATAATAATCATTTTTTACAAGTAACTAATTCAAAATTTAGAATATGGTCGTTATCTGTACACATGCAAAGGTTAAAAAACAAAGAGCTAACTGGTATTTTGAGAGACAGAATAACATGAAAACATGGGAAAAATTCACAGATTTTTCAAACATGGGAAAAAGTCGATTTTTTATTGTAATTTCCATACTCATTATCGAAGTTTTTATGTATCGTTACTTGTTAAGTATCTGAAATCAAAATGTTTTTAAAAAAAGATTTTTTAAGAAGAAGACTTCCCTTTCAAAAGATTTCCAACAAAACAAGGGTTCCTCTCAACATTTCCTTTTATTCAAGATAATCCACAAGACAAAGACTAAGATGATTTGATTTCTCGTCATTCGTAAGGATAACTATCTCGTGAATCAGATTAAAAAATTGATTTAGCTTTAAAGACTCATTGCTAACAATGAGCCATTGCGCTACGTAAGCATCCCATAATACATTTTTAAACTGTCTAAAATCAATTTTGGTTAATCCGTAGAAAATTACTGCCATTGTTTGGATCGTCGCCACGCTCGCAAAGGCCCATTGTTAGCAATGAGTCTTTAACGTGGGTGTCAGGAGGACCTTAAGTATTGACAACAGAAAACATTTGAAACTAAATCTTTTCATGCAAACTCAATTTCTCAACAGAAGATAGTGGTATTCAAGCTAAGGGCTGAATTTTGAAATAATTAATACACTGAACAATGTTTTTTCCTTCAGACAGAACATAGGCCTTGCGGGTGTTATACTGATATAAGAGAGCAACAAACTGCAAAGCGAGGAGAAAAACACTAAATGAAGTAGCTTTACGATAAAAGTAGTCATGCAGTGCGCATTCATCGGAAAAAACATCGAAAATACATTTTGTAGTCTGATTGTATTAGTCTGACCAGTATGAAATGCCAGAGTGAGGTCGAAAGCTGAGTACCTAAACTTATTAACAAGGACTTTGCTATGGACTGTTGGCCAATCAGTAAACATGTGAGTGGTATCACGCTTATTGATTGGCCAACTTTGATTGACAGTTAGCTTAAGCCACTTTAGTATTTGTTGACTGCCTTTGAATGCCGATTCTCTTTGACTTCCAGAAGGGGGCTGCCTCACTCAAGATTAAACCTCGTTCCTCTAACAAAACTTTTTCCACGTTTTGCTATCTTAAACACAGATTTGCTTTTTCATATGCAAAAAAAGTACAACTCACCTCGGCTGGAATTTACTGCGTACCTTTCACCGTCCATGGGGACCTCCCCACTGGTGACACTATTTGATCTGCCCATTAACGGACGTTCACCAGAAGGGGAAGAAGGGGATTCCTCGGCGGAGTCATCACTTCGACCATTAGTGACGTCAGCATCAAGGTCATCATCAGATTCATTTCGGTCCTCTTCATGGATTCCAACAAGTAAACTGTAATCCATTAGGTTTTGGGCCGCGAGAAACTAAAATTGCGAAAGGTTACAAACAGTGTTACCATGCTAGCGGGAAATTCTTGAGTTTATTAGAAGAATGGTGATAGGGGAACAGAAAATGCCTTCAAAGTTTCATAAACCAGTAAAAATAATTTCGGTTAGCTAGAAGTCCTTTCATGTGGTTTCTGAATTAAACAAAACGTGGAAAATCTAATGGAGGGGATGAAGAGAAAAGTGGAAAATTAAAAGTAAAAGAATGATCAACAAGTTACTGAATATTTTTACTTACCTCCACATCATTTCGTATTTTTTGCAATAAATCGGCTTTCTTTTCATTTCCAACGTACAGTTTGACATTGTCTCTTGTGAAATCAACATCCTTGAAAGTTGGCAAGTCCTTGGACTAAAAAAGCGCCAAAATCAACGTTATCTTTTAGTTTTTGCTAAAGATGAAGTTCATTTCTTTTACTAAAGCACTGATAAATAAACAATCTAAAGCACTGATAAATCACCTATTTAACAATCAGCCAAAACGAGAAAACGTCGACTGAAGCAGAAAGCAAGGCCCGTTACCTGCGTGCAAATTCATTTTACACCAGGCTTGGTAAATTTTCCACAGAAAAATTGTCGGTATTCTGCGACCAACAAATTATGTTTCTCTAGGAATCCCGTTCAAATTAAAAAAAACATCATTGAAGCTTCTAAAGTCAACTTCTGTAGGAATCGTACCAAAGTTAAGTCTCTCAGGTCAAACAAGATTTTTGGCGAGGTCTAAGGCATTTATTTGAGGATACGGATAGACCTAAGTACAAGAACACTAAGATTTATAAAAGATTTAGATATGACCCTATGGTTTCCATATGAATGAGGCCTAAAGCATTATCTCAATGTGATACAAAAGAATTTTAAGATAGCCGTGAAGAGTGGTCTCAAAAATTCTTATTGTTAATGTCACAGTCAATACAATTATCGAATGGGGAGCCAGTACCAACAAAAATAATTTGACATCGAAAATCATATGGAATCAGAGATAATTTATTAAATTAATAGCAAGATACATTTCCTACTCCTATCATCGCTAGAATAGACACTTCGATCGTCTCTGAACGTTATTTGAAAACCAAGTATGTTAAGTGCTGTTTTGGAAAAATAAAATGTTTCCGTTAAGAAAAACCGACCATGCGACCCCTATCCCCAGAAACAATGTTGGTTGGAGAGTTAAATGTAATAGCTTTCTGAAAAGAATTCATCGGACCTCCACAACCTTGCATGAAATAACATTTTTCCAAGGGGGAGAGGGGAAAGGAGTTCAAAGCATTTGAAAATTTGGTGCAGTGTAGTAAGACTTTTGGCAGTCATTGTACATCATCGGAGTTCCCCAACTAGGGAGACACAATGTTCAATGCTTGATCGTTTTCTGGCTTTTCCCACGTGTATGAGTTTGTTTTGTTTGGAAAATACATCGAAAACGGAAAATATTACCAAAAAGGCTGCTGCTGAATAATGAGATAAGAACTTTTACAACCTCCATAATAGCTAAGAAAGCTTTTCAATTTGGTGCAACATTTAATCGGTCACGGCTGAATAAAACATACGAATTTCAGATGGAAAATAACATCGAAGACTGGCTTGGGGATCTTTTCCTATTCTCTTGAAAGAAAGTTTTACTGTGAGCTGTGTGGGTAATCCCTGACATTGCTTTAATTGAAAAGTCTGTTATTGCCCCTCTAACTGATACTACGCATTTGAGATAACAGAATAAAAATCTTTAGAAATTGAGAGAATCTCAAGGAACATACCTTTTCTGCTCCAGATGCTTCTCGGCTAACACGTGAGCCCTGGAAAAAATGAAAATTTTCAATGCTCCGTTCTTTTAGAGACAAATCTTTGTTTAAGGGTAAAAATGAAAACATAACGTAATACACTGCTGTAGAACAGAAATATTGACTTTTGAACAGACAATCATCCGATATTCGTTGGTTAACAAGAAAATAAAAACTCAACTGTTATCTTGGCGGGGGAGGGGGGAGGGGGTGCCTAGTTTTGGACAGGGATGAGGCATTTTAGTTTAAAATTTTGATTCATAATTCCGCACATGTCTGAAAAATGTGACTCATAATCCTGCTAACAGGATGAAAACTATACCCATAGTTCTGCAAGGCAAACAGCATTTAATTAGTTAGTTTGAATTGGCTTTTAGTGGAGCTACATGTTGTACATTTTACAATAATGATAACATAGTATGCAAACAATTTAGGTCGAGTACTACGTGTGACTAACTTTTAAAGGCTCTTGCGCAACCGGCATACTTTGCAACTTTATTTACAAAACCGGCCTAATATCCTGCATGAAAATACAAAACATAAGCAACTACTTCTCAAGACAGCTCCTGCTAAGCATGCTGGTTACGCAAGAGACTTTATTGAATATAACTAACCTTGAGGTCATATTTTTTGTGGATTGTCTTTGTAAGGCTGAATACTGTCCGGAATGTAATGAAGTAATGCTCCTTCCCGTCAACAGTGACCCGGTACATTCCGAGGTATTGAGGCAGAAGGGTCTCTCCGTGTGATTCAACGACGTACTACGACAGAGGAAATAAGCTCAATTAGATTTATGTAAGCTTTATGCGGATTGTACCCCTAGGGGAAATTTTAGGATTTTCTTTACAACAAAAAAGGACCACAATACTATGAATCGATTGTACTATTGATAAATCGCCAAAAATGATAGCCAGAAATGACGTCAGTCTGTGGATTTTACGTACAATTTTCCCGCAATAAATTTTTACAAAATACTAAATGACAAAAGAAAAATAGGTAGCATAATCAATAAAGGGTAAGGTGCTTCGAAAAAGACTACAAGTTTCCACCAAACAACAATCGAATATATTTAATCACTGGTTGCTGATATTGGAGAATTCTCACATCAACCGCTGTGGAGGAGCCATTCATTGACAGTTGCTACCAGTTTATGACGTATCTAGTACCCAGGCCACCCAAAAGCTTATTTAAACAAACAAACAAGTCAGGTCTGGTACCTGCCAAGTAGCCAGTTACGCGTTTGAAGTTTACGACGTTTGGTTTGTTCAATTAAAGCTATTAACTATTTGCTTGGAGTAAATAACTGGTGGTTGCTTTTTAGTTGATTGTCAGCTATGAAGACAATAGCCAGGAAAATGCTTTGCTAAAAAAGATACGAAGTAACGACCAAAATACTGTATATATAGCATTGGCGAATATCTTAACATTCAGGTACCTGCTAGAGACTTAGGTACCACACGAAATAGCGGGTTCGATATCCACCGGTCCCATGGTGTAATGGTTAGCACTCTGGACTTTGAATCCAGCGATCCGAGTTCAAATCTCGGTGGGACCTATTTTACAAACCGAACGAGGATGAGTTTTACACTCGTTTCTATCAGAAACCGTCTTTTAAAAACCGAATCCTGAGATGACAAAAATGAAGAAACCATACGACTGATCGCCACCAAACCTATTTAAAAAATTCTCGAAAAACTTTGAATTGATTTTTATCAACAATTAGGTACCTTCTTCCTGTTCAATCCCAAGGGGTCACTTGAACTTTTTATATACAGGGGGGTCCATCCGATAATTATGGGTAATAATTTTCCTTGTGATCTGATACTTGTTGGTACTTGACTTAATAAAATACCTTTTTGATAGTTGTGGATTCAACTAAGACAAAACAACATCAAAACAGGATAAAAAGAACAGATGTGCTTAAACTGATTATTAAAGCAAACATTCTAAATTACTATGACTGGTAGTCTTCTGTGTGCTCAATAAGAAGACTTTGAATTCTGATATTTTTGATACTTTTCCCCGTATGTAAAAATTTTGAGTGACCCCCCTTGGGTTCAATCGACACGAGCAAATAGAAAGAAGAGCTCCATGCGGCTTATTAGGTGTTCTACTTCATGTTATCTCATATTGCGTTTCTGTGTGTCTAAAAAGTAGCTAATTAGCTTTTGGTATTTATAAAACCTTTAAGAAACTGTTAGCACAAGAATATTAAGAAACTAAGCGCTAATCCGGAGGTTAGTTTCCCATAAAAAAATGTGGGCGATTACTATGAGCAGCCTAATTAATTTCTGCACACTACTTCAGCTTGCTGATTCGGAAAGAAATTTCGAGTTAGCTCTAGCTTAATTGAAATAAAGAACAGAATAAACAGACTTAAAAAATGGGAAAGAATTGAATTTTCCTTGCCTTGTTGTTCGACTGTCTGACTGAGAGAAGGAAGGATGTTTTCTTAATATTAAATAACTATTTCTTTCATTATTACTGTTTTTTTAGCAAAATGACTGGCATGTATGAAATGTATGAAAAATGACCACAAAAAGCGATTTTCACCTGAAAACCTTTCACAGAAATAGGCCAAAAGTACCGCTGCAGGTTATGGGACTGCATTGGATGGTGAACCAACAAAATTTACAGAGGTACTTGAATAGAATTGTTTGCAAGTATTTTATAAAGAAACGTTTCAGCTCTTAAAACATTCTGCTAATTCTTTGTCAGTTTTTGGTGACACTGAGCGGTGAGAATGTCAGAAGCCGTGCTTAAATGATCGGATTGACCAAATTAGATTTATCGAATCAGCTCTGCTGTCGATTATCTGAATCTGAAGTGAGCGTATAAGTGGTCAGATTTTCAAATCTGAGTACCTAGAACTATTATATAGAACTGAAATAAACGGAAATTTTCAAAACAGCGCATTGTGATCTCTGATGCAAGGGCATCGGCAAGGAACACTCCATTTATTTTCCATTCGATGCATCGAGCTAACTTGACCAGGTTTGAATTTTGTAAAACTTAAATCGACAATCTGATTTATTCTATACAGAGTGAGTCTGGTAACCAGGGTACGTTAAAGCTTACTTCACGAGCCTCTGTTTCGCTATTGCCTCGATTTACTACCATTAACAGAGAGCAGAAACAGAAAAGGAACATTGTAAACAGAAAAGAAACTAGAGATGTTATCTAGGTAAAAAAATAAACAAACCTCGTGGTATTTAGGCAATAGACTGTGCATCATCTCAACTTCTTCACTTTCAATGGATTTCACAATAAACGCTTTATCGCCAGTCTCGAACAGTTTTGCTCCACTGTTGCCGGAACTCTCGCTCATTTGCAGAGCTTCTTGGAAAGATCGCTGAAGATATAAAGCGACATATTACATCAACTATAACATTTATAAAATTAAGAACTACTTATATTTGTAAAAATAAATATATATATTAGTAAAGACGATTTCATTCAAAATTGTTTTAATCTGTTTCTATAAAAAAGCAAAAATCAGTTTCAGGGTAATTATAAGCTAGACAGACAATCCTGGACAGACCATGTAGAAATCTGTGCCTTGAGACTCCCCTCTCCCCAGTTCAAGGGTTCAAGGGTGACTCGAGTACCCAGAAAAACTTTTACATAACCATCTTTACATTCGAACTGCTCTCGATTACCAAAAAGGGGTCTAGAAAAACGGCAGGGGGTTGGAAATGGTTTGGTATAGTAGTAAGGTTGGAATAATTTTGGGGGGGGGGAACAGTGGAAATGGTTTGATGCGAAAATAATCGGGGGGGGGCTGAAGCAATGGGTTGGAGGTTGGAGAAATTGAAACAGTCGTTCTCCCTTTCTTCGTTGTTATACACTTGTCTTTTTATATTAGTTATATTGTGGATTGATTGTACTCATGAACTCTGGTTCTGTTGAATGCGCTTCAAGAGTCATCATTGAAAAACAACCATTCTAATATTGCTAGATATAATAAACAATTATTCGGTATTCGAGAGTACTTAAACTATTCAGCTGGACTGAAGCCAAACTCATTACACAAGAATCCATAAAACATTTATAGCATAAGGTATTGCTTCATTTGAAGGAATTGAAATCTTGCAAAAAGGAAGCCAAATGACTGGATTTGAAGATTAAAATCAGCTTTCGGAAGAAAAAATGAGTCATACACGATATCCTACAGCTCACAATCTTTGCCATCTGACCCAAATAACAAGTTGCAAGTATTTTTTCAGTTTTTTCACATAGATATAGACTATACCGTTAATAATTCGACTTCAATTAGAATTTCTTTATACCAGAATATGGCGAACTTCAGTAAGCTTATCCTCTATTTCTCATTGCAAGACTATTGCTTTCCAGCTCATACTAAAAGTGGTCGCCCATAAGCTCAGAATTACGGGAAAACCTGATACTATGCAGAAAAATTGAAATCAAAATTGAATCGCATCAAAGAAAGAGTAAGCACTTTCTTTCTGAGCGACGTTGATCAAGAAACCTAGGGCAGAATCGGCTTTTGTCCAGAAAGCAATGGCGGCGCCAGCCACTAAGCTCTGGGGGGGGGGACAAACCAGAAAAATTTAAGCCACGCCCTTTTAACCACCAGAAAACGCCCTTTTACCAACAGGGAACGCCAATTTTATCCGAAAGGAACGCCTATGACAAACTCTTGTTTGAAAATTGGCCGTTTGAAAATCATAGGATTACATGATTCCCCCCCCCCCCCCCCCCCCGTGGCGCCGCTACTGCCAGAAAGGATTCTCAAGAATTGAACTCACGGCATAAAGTTGGTCGTCAATTCCGAATCTCTCCCTCAGGTTTTGGAAAACCAAAGGACAGTATTCTTTGAATTTGAAGTGTGACGGCATGTTATCGCTGCAAACAGAAAAGAAGGAGAAATAAATAATTGTGTCGAAGTAACCACAAAAATGCGACAAATTTCATAGCATGCGTCATCAAATGACGGTACATATGAGGTATGTTAGTTAGTGACTCTTTCGTCACTACACACACACACACAATCAAGAACAGTTGTATTAACAAAAAGGCTAGGCGCTACGTTCAACGGACATGAATGAGACAAGATGTCCTTCCCTTGTAGGTTGTTCTCGTAGTGTCCGGAGGATATTTAAAACATATTTGCACAAAATTTTGTGCTTGTTCCTTGAAAGTTTCTGTTATTAGAAGCTTCAATGCATTTCACTACTCGTCCGGGTCCAAACAAGATGGTCCAGGGGGGAGGGGGGTTGGTGGAGGATGATGTATATAAAAATGACACAAACAGAAGGCTGGAAGCGAGACAATCACTCACACATTTTTATGTAAAATAAAATTATCAGTTTTGATTAAACTCGGTTTACTAAAAGTTTAGAATGAAAAAAATAATTATTTGGATTTGCTTATTATTTGTTCCCACATACAACTCTCTCTCTACTCTTCTATCGTGATAATCCTTTCTTACACTTCTTTTTAATTTGTTTTTTAAACATGGCAAATATTTTAAAAGTTGTCCTTCTAAAATTACCAAGATTATTTATATTTTCTAGGAAATTAATTGAAGCTACTTTCCATTAAAATTTCTATCCCCAGGTACAACAAAAATAAAAATATATTTGGAGAAAGGCAACAAACATTACACTGAAAGACGAGAAAATGTTTACAAAGCTTGAGACCAATGTGAATTCTGTAAGAGTACGCAGTCATCTAAAGAAACTGGATCTGTTCCGTTCGTGCATTCCCAGCATCGCTCGGTTAGGTGAATAGCAAACAGGTGGGTTATATGACATGCAAAGTTATACAGATCGTGGTTTGAGGTGAACCACTCCAGGAACGTAATCGTTCTTTGGCTTCTAATTAAATAAATGATAAAACTGAGCCCACTTTGGGGTAGTGCTTGGTTGGCACCCCTACCTGTATAAAATGACCAGTCAACGTGAAATATCCATTAAACGAAATCATTTTTAAGTCTTTAATTTTCATTCTAAGGGTTAGAGTCTTTCCTCAAATTCAAATTCATTCCCTACAACCGACATCTCCTCGCAACGGACATTTCCCCATTTCCCTATTACGGACACCTCTCTATGACGGACATCATTTTATAACAGAAATTTCCCTACAAAGGACGTCTACCTACAACGGACAGTAATTCTAGACACACAGGTATACGTTCTAAAACGGTTTTACTATACTTCAAAACACTGCTATATTGATAGAAACTAAATTTCTCTTGAGACCTCAGTTGGTAAATTTCTTAGAAAGATAATGCCCTTGGGCAAACAGAAATCTACAAGAATTTCAACAAAACCACGCGTTTATAAACTATTCTGAAATTAATCAAGTGAAATCTTTGTTCCTGCACTATTCTCCCACAATAATGCTGCAAATTCGCTTTCGGGAGATTTTAATTCTTATTATCTGTGGCTTCTCGGCTAGTATTTCACATATATGTATGTATGCCTTTGTCAAATTATCCTGTATGCTATACTTATGAAGCTGAAGGGTGCGTCACAATAGATTTGGCGATTGCTGATTCGAACAGATTTTGCAATGGAAGGCAAAGTTTGTCAAGGAGAGCACGGATCACTCCTCTCCTTAATTGATCTACGCTGTTTTTATTGATATGCATGGCGAACAACAAAACATAGGTATCCAGGTGTCTTGCCTAAAAGCATGAATTATTGATCCACCACTTTAGTTTCAATCGAACAAGTCATTAGAAGAAGGCTAAAATAAGCTCGATAAGTACTGCGATAATCATATTAACTCAATATGCAGCAAAATAAAAAATTGCTTCCCTTGACCTTAAGAAAACGAGAGCTTTTCTACCACTTGCCAAAGCAGCCACTGCGATGTAAGCGAATACTGCGTGGAACAGCAGCTGAACAAATTCCTTGCATATTAATTACGCGAATTAAGGTTAAAATGAGCCTAAAGTGGTTGAAAAGCTGCTATCAATCAATGCGATGGGAAAATAAATATACGTGCAACTGAGCGGGCCAATTCTTGTCGTCGTTTTGACCATAATAAGGGTCTGATGACGATAATTCATTATAAAAAGCACTCAAAAAATTAATTTTCAAAATGATAAGGCCCAAACTTGAAGATTTCATAAATTCAGGGTGGGTACCTTCATTCTGCGACCCAGCAAATGTAATTAAACATACTCTACTGCTAATTTTATCCAATTATGATACAACTTTCTCATGGCTACTCTTGATCCAGCAAGCAATGCATCGTATATCACATCTTCCACCCATCCAAAGGTTAATTCTACCATCCTGCAAACCTACTGTTTGCCTTTACTGATTAAACATCCAAACAGCAATAAAGAAAGAGTGTCTACATAATAGGAATGCCAAGCATATAACTATTGGTCCTTTTGACAAAAAATTAATGTGAACTTTATTACTGAGTGCAGCTCTGTTATAAAGCAAAATGAATGAGCAGGTTTGAAAACAAATTTGCTAAAAACAGTAATACAAAAATGTTAAAAACAGTAATACTTACTTCCCATAATTATGATTTTTTATGATGACTTTGCCAAAAGCTTTGAAATCTTCCTTTAAAAGCATGACGTTTGGGGGCACTCGACCTAATTCATTTATCTGTTGATAAAGAATATAAAATTACTTGAGTGTCATGAAGCAGAAATGTAACTTGACTTGTATTGTAACTTGAAATATATAAATGCTACCCTCAGGATACACTTACTCGGTTCTAGAACTGCAATGGTCTAACTTTATCAAATAAAGCCATAGACCAAAGGAGCATTTCAAAAGGGAGGGAACATGTAGGCAAAAAGGGGGAACCTCTGTGAGCTGCAAATATGTTCTTTACTTCTGTCTCTATAAAAGGGAGGCTTAGATCAAAGAACTTACTAGATGAACCAAAAAACTTTTCCACATAACCCTTAGATGCAAACAACCCTAAATTAGTTTTATTCGCAAAACTACAAGAGCTCATTCAACCGAGCCAAACAACACAACAACACAACAAAAATAAATAATCAGAAAGCAGATAAAATATCATGTAAATATAAAGAAAAAACAATATGCAACCCATTTTTCCAAAATTTAGATCAAATATTTCTTCTTGGTATCAACATGAAATATAACATTCAATTGGAAAACTTTTATTAAAAGAAGAGGTATTAAACTTGGTTGCAGAGAGGGACAGAAGGGCGCCAGTAAGGGACCAAATAGACTGTGAAATTATTGAGAAAAAGCCTCAACCATCTACGCTTTGAACAAAATTTTAATGTTGACAGTCAGACTTCTAGATATAGATTCATCGAATTAAGTAGCATTTGAAGATATAAAGGAAGCACAGAGACTAAGCTAACATGATTAATTCAAAGAAACATTTTCTGTAGGCAATAAGCCACATATCAGCAGCTTGATAGGGCCTAGAGTTGAACTGTGAATAATGTTATTGTTTCGAGAAAAACTAAACCTTTGCCAGGGCATAAGAAAACTTTTGCATAAACAAAAGACTATCTAAGTTAATCACTTAATGATTATGAAGTATGTATTGTCTATTCTGATATAATAGTGAACAATGCACAGAACTACAGATCAATAAAATAGTATCTTGACCAATATAAAGATACTCAACAGAAAAACATTGAGAACTTTAAACACTGTCGGCTGAGTGCACAGCATGATACAGCAAACATGTCTTATCTTTAATCAAACTTTTACAATATTAATAAATTATTAAGCATTTTTCTGACCATGGCATTTCATGACAGATTTACATTGGCTGTTTAAATACAACAGACAGGTTTCAAAGTTAGTCAAATGACATGGCCAAAAATGCTGAATTTTATTGATTCATTTTGCTATCATGATTCACAAAATTGCATGGGAATTGTTGAAATAGCATTTTTCTAATAAACATGCGAAAAAACTATTCCAAAGCAGTCAAATGTTTATAAAACAAAGTCTTAACTGTACTAAAAGTATTAAACATCCAAAAAGCTGTTTTTTTTTATAATCTGTACAAAGCATGGCACAGGTGATAAGCGCTGGCTGAATCTTCAAACACTTTTTTTTAAGTCTGTGTGTGGAAAAATGACCTTTTCATTAAAATTAATCTAAATTTCAAGGGTTAATTTTATCTGCAAAACATCATATGTCATCCTTAAATATAAACTATAAATTTCTTACAAAAGAAAGCTCAGTGGCTCAGATGTGTCAGAGCAAACATCAGAGCTCTTGACTAAAATGTGATATCAAGCATGGAATCCATAGAGCTTTAGCCTACGTGCAGACTCTCTTGACAACCAAGTCAATTTTCTTGTTCACAGGTTCCTCAAAATCAAGGAACCAAACTTGATTGGTTGGGGGAATTTCAATTGTTCTTTTCAGTTTTCAAAGTGGTGCCTTCGAGCAGAAGTATAAATGAATATATCAGGATAATAGAATAGGTCTGTTTGTTCTTTTGAACAACTAAAATTACAGAAAAACATTGCATGCTAATGGAGTTGTTGTTCTAGTGCTTGGAATAAAATGTTGATGTCAGCAAACAAGAAAAGCGGCACTGTTGCGCAGACTCTACTTTCTCTCCTCTTTTCAATTTCAGAGTCTGCACGCAGGCTATATAGCTTATGCTGGAGAGATCTGACATGGACTAATGAATTGCAATTGTTATTTTATAGGCATATTTCAGGTGTGAACCATACATGGATTCCAGCTTGGCTCAAGGGTTGAGACACAGTGTCAACTACTATTTTCGATGTTAACCTTTTGTCAACCTTGCAGCCAGGGGTAAAGCCAAAAAATATTTTTGAAGGGGTAAAGAAATGATTTTTGTTGACAAAAGAAGGGCATATCTCACCGTTCAAGGGCGTGGTCAAAAGATAAATATCCTTATATGCTATTGTATCTGTTTCTATTTTAAAGATACTACAGAAATGTTAATATGTTACAATAGTTGCAAAAAGATTACAGGGTGAGTAAAATATTTCTTTTCTTTCCGGCCAAAATTCTTAATGTGCCGACACCTTTTTAGGCCAGGGTACATTGAAAATTAAGATGCTTTGATGAATCAGAAATTGAATTTTTTAGACAAAAACCTTCTTGCTGGTGCAGAGTCAACTAAAAATGAGTCAATTGCTAGGAACCATTACCTTTCAGGAAGCAGAAAAATTACTTAGCTGGGTTAATAATATCCGCAACAAATATTAATATTTGTGTAAAAACAAAAATAGCAAAGTTGATTTAGAATTCTGGAAAATTTTATAGTAACTTGACATCTACAGCTGCATTAAGAAAATTTATTTGTCAAAAGACTGTTTAGAAAATATCTTTCCTTTTTAAGAAAGAAGTTTATGGTGTCAGAAGCCCAGCCTGCATAGTTTGGCACAGTTTTTACCACATGCAAACCTTCTTTTTATTCATAAGGTATTCAAAAAAAGGTTTTCATAATAGTGTTCTATTACATTTGGTGTGCAATTACAAATTTTGGCATGCAGCACTACACTGACCTGGCAAGTGCATCTTTCATATATTTTCTTGAGGTTTTTGTGTCAACGAACTTTGTTGCTTTGTGATTACAGCAGTGGTGGATGGGGACTGAACAAAAGATCTTTAATCCGAAAAAAGTTTCTTTACATTGAAGCGATGAATATGATTCATATCATTCCCGTATATTCTAAATCGGATGTTAGCTCACTTCCCACTTCCTTCTTCTGATAGTTTCGTTTTATCGTTGGAAAGAAATTCCTTTCATCGGTCACAAAAACGTTGTCAACACGTATTAGTAAAGACACTCGCACAGACAATACCTGCAAACGTATTCTAACATAAACAGACCCCGTATCGTGAATTAAACTGTAAAAACTCAAAATACTAAAAAACCTTTCAAAAATTTAAATAAAACAGCTATTATTGAATCCAATCTAACCAATTTCTGACCCCAATACATTTTGATTGTGCAAAAAAATTCGATAGGCCTAAAGTATGTGGGTAATTGTCTTTTATCAATTCCATACCGTAAAAGGTCGGGCACCTAATGCCAAAACAAAGTACAAGTTAGATCTACCATCACATAATAACTTATGATTATTACTCACAGAATGGCAAATTCCCCACATTAAAACGGATATCTTAGGATCTTGGGCTCTGAATAACTTCTTCTTCTGGTGAAACGCCTTTATCTTTTTCTTTTTCTGCTTCATCTTAGTCACGCTAGTGCCGGTGTCAGCCATCTCTCCGGAATAGGTTTATTCTAATTAGCTATTTATCTAACCTTGCCTACTTTGTTAAGGTTAAACGTAAAGTTATTAACACCATGGGTTGAAATGTTCCGTCTTCTTTTCAGACACACCAGCAACTAAACATCAATGTCCAGAAACCATCCTCTTGTCCGACCAACTACAACAACATTGCTTCGTAGCTTCCAGCTCAAGGGTGGAGTCCCAAAAATCATTGGCTTTTGGCTTGAAAACTTGCACAGAATTTGAAACATGAAATGGAATTTTATTTTGGTTTGCCTCAAATGAATTGTGTACCTTATAAAGATGGTTAGACTTTTTGGTTTGGAACAGTTCACCTCTCCCTATTGTTAAAGCTAGAACTTGAAACTCTAAAGGATAAATCTATATTCGTAAATTTGGATAACAACAATTCTTCTCTTAAGGATTATCGGCGTTATTACTGTATGCCTTGATTAAATAAGAGTAGTTTATAGTGTTATTTGAGCTGCTCTATTTTGATGGCTGGCGAATTTGACAATATGAATCCATTCCTCATAAGACAACGAGCCCTGGGAAATTAGAATGGAAGTCGTAAAACCACCAACAATTGAGGGGTTTTGCCAATGAAAGGGTGCCCAGTTCATTGATAAAAGAGGTCACTAAAAAAGGTTAATGAATGTCAGAATAGTATAAACAGTCACTGCTTAGAATACCAAGTGTTAAATTTGTATTATTTCATTGTGACGAATGCTTTAGTCGAACAATAGTAAAGCTACCGCACTACACTCTTTTTTTATAAGAACAATCACGAGCCTCAAAATTGGTCAAAATTCAAGAACAAATTAAGAATAAGTTTAGACTGAGCTACTGTAAAATGCAATTTTGAACACCGTTTTATTTCATAAACGGCTTCTTTTAGCCATGTTTGGGTGCTTTTCGCTGAATGTTCAAATTTGTCAGCAAATGAAGGTTGTCTCGCTCACTTCGTTAGCAATGAGGACCTCCTTAGAGCGAAAAAGCTAGCACTCGCACTTCTTACACCCTATTAGATTAAGAACAAATTATGAACAAACCAGCCCAGTGGCAGAAATTGTCGGGGTATGGGAGGGGGAGGGGGCTCGGGCAATGTCGTCGGAAATTTAGGGCTTTCATTGGATATTTGACAACCGTTTAACTTGTCCAAATCACTTTTATAAATCGTTCTGAAAGGGAATTTTAAGCTAATCTAAGCGGCTTTGCAAATTTTTTTGCTCGCTTCGCTCGCAGGTGCTCTGCATTTTCTTTTTTTACCCCAGGTGCCTCTACAATCTCTCTGTGCCTTTTTGCAAAATTTGAACATAGCATAGCTGATAAAATAACAGCCAGTACTAAATAATCAATCAAACAATATATGTCCAAAATCAAATCTTCTTGTGAATTGTATTTTCAATTTCATTTCCGTAAAGATTAGCCAAAATTTCCACCGGATTCTTCTGAATAAAAATTTTTTTCAAACGTATTTCTCACTGACGAAAACAAGATAAAATGTATAAAATGAACGTACGACTTTTCAAAAGTGTTATCGGTCTACCTCTTTCATCATCAATTGTCTTAGATGAGATATCAATCTTGATATCAAAATTCATTTTTATTTTTATTTTTAAATATTTATACAGGGTAATACATTCAGTAATGAAAAGATAGTAACTGATTTACAATGAGCCCTGTCTAAAAACCTAAGCTAATTAACATACAATTACATAACAAAGATAAACGAAAATTAATATACAATATATTCTGGTAAGAAAAAAAAAAACTCTCAAACCCTTTGATTTTTCAAAGAGTGTTTCAGCAAATTTTTGAAAGTAGCCAGTGAAGGACTACTTTATAAATGGATTGTTCTTCTTGCTACTTAATTATGGCGTGGTCAGCAAAGATTTCTAAAGGGTCCCACCAAAAATCAACTATTCTCATCAAAATGTGCAGTTTCCTTAAAATTAGACATGACACAAGATGTTATCTTGTCGGAAAATCGTAGGCCTGGGCCCCCTTAATGAAAGCCTGAATTTCCGCCACTGATCCAGCCTCAGATTTTAAAAAAAAAACTAAAAAAAAGGCAGCCTAAACATAAATTTACTGGTTCTTATAAAAAAAAGTGTATAGCACGGGGAGGGTTTCAATGCAAAGAAATCGGTTTCCACTGAAGAAAAAAAAATTGCATATAATATGCAGTGTTTTTCAACATGATAAAGAAAGCCAATCGGAAGAATTGTGAAAAGGAAGAATATAGAAAAAGCTAGAAAGCCTTCCGGAATTGAAGCTTCAAGCCAATGAGAGATGTTTGCAATCAATGTCCCATATAAAATCATCAACGTCTCTTCATCATTTGGGATAATTCTTTAAAATTTCAATCCGAGCCCTGCCTAATATCTTTTGATATACAAGAACAAAAAAACTCTCTGAATTAAGTATGAGTCTTCATTTTATAATGAAAATATAAATATTTTTAATTTTCCTCACCTAGTCTTCATTCCTGAATAAAGACAGCCATTTTATGACTTCATATTTTTATTTTCAGCACCTGAAGCAGTTACTCGCGCTTGCGAATCCCCCACATCATGGGCATCTTGATTCTAACAAAATATTAGAATTATGGAAATGTCTCGATAAACCTATATTTATCTTCCCTGTATGAATATGGCTTTGTTTATGCATTTGGGCTTTGTAACGTTTGGAGAAAATCCTCTTGATTCCTGCCTTTTTTTCAAGGCACCACAGCCACAGCAAGGGCAGGCAATTTTTAACAAAGAATCATCTTATTTGTTGAAGAATCAATAAAACTTAACATTAGTAATTTTGATTTTGACGACGGTTTTCAAAGTTTTTGTACTGTATAACATTATTAATAATAATAATAATAAAATAACAACAATGTTTAAACAGGGTAACCTCTTCAACACACGGAGTGCTGTTTATCAACAAGGGCCCTGTATCTAACTGCTATATACTACAATGAAATGTTACAATCAAAGAAAAAATAATAAATACTTAAGACTGTTTAGAAGCAGGGTCGCAGAGAGGATGTTTAGGCCCCGGGTCAGGACGAAAGATGTATAATAGAGACAGACGCTTCTAGGGGGTACACATTATTTGGTAACATTCAGAAGCTTTTCAACCTCTTTAGACCAAGCCCACAAAGTTGAGAAATTCATAACAGCAGTCAAGGACTCAAACTGCTTCTACCTTACTTCTTTCATAGACTTTTGTCATTATTGTTTCTTTGAAAGACAGTTTGTGATAATGAAGAGGCTGCACTGTTACTTATAATGTTTTTAATTTGTTATTATTTGTGGGCCCCTAAGGCCAAGGGCCCCCTTGTCAGTGACCCCCTGACCCCTCTCTCCTCAGCACTGTTTAGAAGCATAAATTAATTTTACTGTAAATATAAAACTGCTTTAGTTTACTTTTAAAAAGAAGAAAGGAGTCCAACTGGCGTAGGCTGCTCGGAAGTTTATTGAACACTTTGGGACCTTGAAACCAAAAGCCTTTATTCCTGTTACGTTACGAAACCGGCCTTTTGATTGCATCATGGTCAATAAATATACCACATCGACACATTTTGTTGTCAAGGCTACTTTTAATAGCTTGTTATGAATTTTGTATGAATTTCTTTTAGGCCAAACTGTAAAGAAAATATTATATCGTTATGAGTAACGAAAGAAGATTCTTTTGTGTAACAATTGCATACATTCGGAATATTTTAGGCCGGATTGCTGCTTATCAACTTCAAAGTTTGCACCAATTTTAACAACTTTTAAATACATTAATTTTTTTATAAGAAACAAAGGTAGTTGTTGCGTAAACCAGTTTCTTGATGTTCTGGAAATTTCAATACTTATTGTTTCTTAAGAGTTTCTTAATTATGATGTCATGAATGACATTATAAAATGTTCGCGGCCTTTCTATCACGTCAAGAGATTCGCTTCCGTTCTGATGCTGTATTTAGACATGGGAAGTATATTTTTATCCCTTGTGTCTTAAGTTCTAGGCCAGCAGGGCAATCATGATCTTGGATTTCACGAAATTTCGTTGTTCTCAGTTTTATCACGATTTAATACCTTTTTAATTCTTTTGCTTCGAGTACTGAAATTTCTTAATTTTTTCGGCCTGTCCAGTACTCGTTTCTTATAGCCAGTTTCTTATAAAAAAATGAGTGTATCTGTCCTCTATAATTGGAGGCTGAAATACCCTTGAATTTTTATTAAATGTGAAAATCAAAGCTGTAAAACAAAAGGATGATTAAATCCTATGGAAGTCAAACTAAACTTTACAATTATAATTTTTATTCTGGGACAGGAGGGGAATGGATGTAGTAGAATTTGGGAGAAGAAACGGAAAATACGAGAAACAACTTAGCGGCCACCGGCTGGGTGTTCCGCATAATTTTGTCAAATTTTACCATTGATTTCATAATATGCGCATTTACCGATCGCAGATTTATTACTTTATCGTGGCTTATTTCCGAAAAACATGTTCACTTCAATTATTGGCTCTAAAATTTGATCAAACAAAGTTAAGCAAATGTTCATTGAAATTGTGAGAGCGTACAACAAAATACAATGAAAGTACAACAAAAATTTAACATTTTTGTTTTATATCCTTCTTTGAAATATAAATTCATCTACCAATTTATATCAAATTTTTCCCAAAGTTTGGTATAAATTTGGTAAAAAGCAAAGGTATAAATTCATCTACCAATTTATATCAAATGTTTCCCAAAGCCATAATTACTAAACAGTATATTTTTCGGCCACAAAAGGTGTCCATTGGCGAAAGTATGAGCCACAGATATTCCATGCTGTTTTCAAGAGTATATTTTTGTTGAGCCTTAACATTCTAAAAAATCTTTAAGTTTTAGCTTGAATACTTTCTTAAATTATTCCTGAACGACGTGGGTAGAATCTCAAGCCCAGTGTCGTATGGTTAAAACTTTCAAAACATGATATAATCTTTTGTTGTTAATATTCTGTAATTTTAAACATTATCGAAGTTTAAAAATTGCGAGAAACTCAAATAAACATATCAAGGTAAATTTTTAGCTTGGCAATTATTCTAATTTATCCTTAACTTAGCAGTTTTGTGTTGCAATAATTCAATACGAATAGATGAAAAATCTGTATTAAAGGGTTTAACAGCTAGCCTACAGCTAGCCCACAGCTACAATCCTTGACAAAAGTCCTTGGAACACCCTGCGACCAATGAAAGATTTTGAAGAAATAAAGGTTTCCGGCTGTAAGATACAGAAATATCCCCCTCCCCCCCAAAACAATGTTGGTTGAAAAGCCTATTACTTACCCTAGCAGATAAAGTAACATTGGATAAATTTCAAGCTTTAAAACTGTTGTTATTCAACATTGTTTCAAGGGGGAGAGGGGGATGCTACTGAAGTTTTGCAAAATTTTAGCTTGGTGTACCAAGACTTTTGGCAAGGATTGTAGCCACGTTACATGCACAATGCTACAATTAAACTGTGAGCTTGGTTAAGACATACATGAGCGTTTAATTCACAGCAATCGGCTTTTGACTGCTGTTTCTTTCTAAGTGTCGCCTGGCATCATTTTCCCACTGGCATCATTTTTCCACTGGCATCATTTTTCCACTGGCATTATTTTTCAAGTAGAACTGAAGGTCATACTAAGGAAATTATCAAAAGCATGTGACTTTTTTTAACATTAAGCAAAGCAAGATGGTTTTATTGCGTCTACAAAAAAGATAACAAGCTGATTTAAACTGACAAATTTGATGCATGACATGGAATTCATTGACTGCATTCTACGACACAATAAACAAAGTTTGAAACCGCTTTACATTAAACGTACCTAGCGATGTCTTTTTTAACAGATACTTCGGGCTTGCACTGTTTGGCAAATTAACATCCATACTCGCTTCAAATTGATATCTGCCTAGGCCAGTTTCGAGACATGGCATTAAATACGCAACGATACAACACACTGCTTTAAGACTTCACAAGGAAGGCTTGGAGGAAATGGCCATCTTTTTCTTACATATAACGAATTAACCGAAACACCCTCACAATCAAATTACAACATAATCTGTTACTTATTACCAAGCTATTGTAGAGATCTGACTTGTTCATCGGATAGCTTATCAAAAATGGGTCTTCTCATTTTCGCCATAGTGCTGTCGACCACGAGTTCTTAAAGAATAACATTTAGGCTAAATACGACTGCGAGTAACAGCGAAACCGTTCTATTCTATTCTATTTATTCAACTTTGACACTTGTAAAGACTGCACAACACTGAAGTAACCCAACAGTGTTCTTACCATTTAAATAAAACAGACTCACACAAACCATTATTCCATCAACTCAAGACTACAATATAGAAGTTTGGATTCGGCTTGGGTCACCTCTTGCTAGGATCAGACTGGAGTCTTAAACGCTTCTTGCTAAGGTTCAAATAGCCTTAAGACCAAGCTTAAACAAAATCTCGATTAGGCTTAACGTAGCTGACTAAGATTTATATGGCATCTGGATCCGGTTTAAATAGAATCTCGATTCAGCTAAATGCATCTTATTATTAAGATTCGCATCTCAATCGAGTTTGAGCCATCTAAACAAAGCCAGTCGGACGCCTCCACTAACAATAAGTTCAGTTTACAGGCAGGTTTATTTGTGCATTTTATTTTATCATCAAAGACAGAAAACACTAGCCCTTATCAATTTTAACAAAACGTTACAAATCCAGATTTTCTAAACCTTTTGCGAATCACGAAATACCGTATCTTCGCATTTGCCAAGCTTTTCGCAAAGTGCTGTAAAAATACGCATTTTCCTAATGTTTAATAAAATCCAAATAGTCAGGTTTACGGCTCGTCGCATCTGGCAAACTATTTCCATAACTTTTTGATAGACATGTTTTTCTCCGAGTCCTTTTGCATAACCTGAAAAAGAATTCAATAATAAAACGGCGTTGGGAGCAAAAACATTCGATCTTCCAGTATTTTTCAACTTTCTTTCAATTATAAAACTGAATGTGTAAAATATTTGAATCCTGTTCAGTCGTACCCCGGGTAACTCGTACTTCCACTAAGTCGGACTGTCATAAAGTCGGATTGTCATTTCAGTCGGACTGATTTTCAATTCCCATTGGCAATTTCAACCAGATTCAAGACAAAAGTCGTAACCCCTATAAGTCGGACATACACTAAGGAGGATCATTCTTTTACACCTCTCCCCCTTTGAAGGTCCGAGTGAATTCGGGTACGTCTCAACTTCCAGGAATTTGATTGCGAGACAGATGGTTAAAAAAACTTTAACCAAAATGATTCAAACCAAAAAGAGAGGATTTTGTGGTAAGACACTTTTTCAATGCGAAAAGGTTCAACTAGGAAGTTGCCAGCTCCTTTTCGTGCATCAAAAGGTATTGGCATTAGGTTTCCTAGGCTGCCAGGTAGGCAGAGGGCAAGCACTAAGCATAAAGCATTTAGCATTAAGCATTACACCTACAAAGGGCCATTGGTTGAAGTCTATAATCTTCCATAACATCCCACAAAATCAAGAGTCATTCTACATACTCAAGTGTTTAAATAGCTGATGTAAAAAATAAAGAAATTCAAAAGGCCACTTGCTTTTGCTACTGCCATTTCAAAATCTTCTTGGGTAACATGGACTCGCCTTTCACGAAGAGCATACATTCCGGCTTCAGTGCAAACGCCCTGTTACAAATACAAACGAAATTCAAAGCATGTACTGATCTTAAAACGGCCAAAAATGTGTCACGGACTTGTTGGGGGTATTTTTGGGTGTTATAAATGCTAAGTGGTGGGGGCGTGTTGTTATTAAAATAAACGGGAATGGCATATTAATAGATAAGAAGCAAGATCATGAATTGTTAGTAAAATATACTAAACTAGGAGTCTGCAAGACTCTACCTGTTGTCTGCTGGAATTCTTGCAGATCATAAACAAGTCATTATTAATATCTTAAGACATCATGAATGTGAATATACCAATTTTTCCGGGTACCTGATGATTGTTGAAAATACCGTATTTATGACAAAAAGGTGCCCCTAAAAATGGTACAATATGGCCGCCACGCCCCCTCACCCCCTTAAAAAAGGTCATCAATTACCATTAGCACTAGCTTTTCTATCTGTTTACATCACCTGTCGGTTCTATAAACAACGCCATAGACCAACCCATCTTGAATATCAGGGCCATTCAGATTCCAATCTTTTATTCATAGTTTAAATTCACATAGATTAACATAAAAGTTTGTGTTTATGCCAATCAATAGCACTCCAGTTTCCACAGAAAGGTTATTTTCAGTCACGACTCATCTGCTTAAAGGCAGTCCACAGACACAAAAGGCTTCGGCCATCTGTTGACCTTTGATCAAGTTGCGATTTATATTTTCTTTAAACGAACTGCAACATTTGCACGATTTTGGCGACCATTTTATCAGTGAGACAGTATCGAGCCTTTATCACTCGATATAAAATTTCTATAAAGTATCAAGTCAACATTTTGATCTTTTACTCTATCGGGAACAATTTGCCTTACCGAAGTTGAATGTCTCTGTAGGTGAGCCCTGTTCTTTAACATTATGGTTTTTCACAAATACAACTTTGCAGACACAATCAGATGTTTTCTTATATTAAGGAAAGAGCAAATTTATCTTTACTTTCATACAGTCGTTTATCAAAGGACCTCTAGAGAACCAAAGGTTGCGTTCGAAAACGTCAGAGGGCCAGGTTGCATTCTGGGCACTTTAAGGTGCCACCCTTAGGCCAAATTTAATATATCTGTTTGTGTCACCTTTCAACATAAAACGGTTTAGTCTAATTTAAGAATCCACAGGAAACCTTTAGCCAAATTGCGGGGCTAGCTCATAGATAAATTTGCACGATCGCTGGAAACATCTGTGAGTTAAACAAAGAAACTGAACTGCCACCCTCAATCACATTCGCAAATATCCTTGCACACGATAAAAAGAACATGATACAGAGATGATAAAGTTGAAATTAAACTTCCAGCAGAAAATTAATGTCCATTAACCTAATTATAAAAAGAACAAGTTTTAAGAAGGTCTCCTATTTTACTTTTGCTGATCAAATACCTGATTGGGGAGCTAAAACGACCAACTGAAGAATCTGTGCAAGACAAGGTATAAGACAAAATTACCTTGATTTCAGCACCAGAGGCACCAGGCATAGTTTCGGCTATTTTTCGCAAATTGATGCCACGGGTGAGGTTCATTTTACGAGAATGGATTCGCAGGATATCTAATCTGGCCTGAAGAAGGAAAATAGGAACATTTATTTAAATGAAAAATGTTATAAATGTCAAACATGCTGTTGGAAAAAAAATCCGAATCTTTAAGAAGAACTCACGAAACCAAAGAAGGAGTAACTGAGGGGACGAAATGAGATTGGTGATTTTTGCTCTGGCTTTTGAGCTAGGGTAGGGGGAGGGGTATGTTGTTCGGCAACATCTACTAAATTTACCGAAAAAAAACTGCAAAGGTACATAAAATCGTGACGAAAAAGGTATAAAAAAGTAGGATCAGTAAGCGAGCTTCACATTTCTGTAAAAAGAATCTAAGATGAGAAGGTAAGGCAATAAGAAAACAAGAAATGGCACAAAAACCATAAAATGGGAAAAGTAAAAAACTAGACATTAACTTTTGGCTTACATTGCACCTATTACAGGGGAAATTATAAAATAGCCTGTTTTTGTTGTAAATGAATGCATTGCAAGTTGTTCCGGGCGAAAAACCTGTCTTTGTGAAAATTGATTTACATATCCCCTGTATTCCCCGCCTGCCTCCTTCTCCACGCAAAAGTCATTGTATTTCTGTATATCATATACTGGTGCACCTAGCGCTTTAGGTATGCTTTTTGACTACTCATAAATGCATTAGGATAGAATTTGGCTATTACCTCTTCATTGGGGGCTGGGAACTCGATTTTTCTGTCGATTCTTCCAGGCCTAAGAAGGGCCTGATCCAAAATATCTATTCGATTTGTTGCCATGATGACTTTAATATTCTGCGTCGGCTCGAAGCCATCAAGTTGATTAAGAAGTTCCAACATGGTCCTTTGCACCTCGCTGTCACCTTAAAAAAAATATATCCATGAAAGAGTAAACAAATTTTCCGTTTCCTGACCATCCGTTTTCTCCTTACAACTCAAGCTCTTAAATTACACGAGTGATTTAAAGAAAATGAATTTGTACAATTAAGCTTTTGAGAACTATAAAAGAATTTACCTTAATTACGGGAGCTAATTGATACTCATGTGAAAACATTTTGAAAATGAAAAAAAATGTTTCATGAAAATGAAAAAAATGCCAACGATCAGTATCATGAAATTGTGAATAAAGCATTGCACAGAATTCTGAACAAAATGGCGACATAATGTAGACCATGGACTTAACAAGCATTAAAAACATCTCTGCACAAATAAAAGGACTTCTGGTGACATAATATGTAGCAAATTGCAAAAAACCACGTGTGTAGACAGAATAAGTTCGTTTTCACCCTTGGATTCTAATGGTAATATTTTCAACCTTTGCAGCCATGTGCTTGCGTTTCTCATTTGGTTATCTCGATCCACAATTTTGTATTTTTATTTATACCTCAAAATTGGATGATTACTCGGATGTTTTATAGTCTGAAGAGAGTCAAAGAAAAAGCTCCCGTATGTTTGAAATGTTTGCTTTTTCAAAGTCATTTTCAAATTCTCTACCGCCACAAAATTGATTGCACACTATCTTAAAACCAGGCTTGATGACAAAATTAAGACCTATTATCTATTCGCTTTGCCCTTCTCTTAACATGACTTTATAAACTTGTGTATGATATTATCATATTTTCTCAACTTATCGATGAAAAAAACACACAACCCGTTAGCATTTATTACCTCCAGAGCCTCCTGAGTCGATCCTGGTGGATCCAATTGAGTCGATTTCATCCATGAAGATAATTGATGGAGAATGCTCTCTGAAAGAAATCGCAATGTCAGCTTGAATCAAGCGCTGAATATCTGAATTTTTCAAGAAACTTTTACCATAAAATATTTGGTTAAAAACTTCAATACTAAAAACTTTATAATGGTATGAAAAGAACACTTGTTTTTCGGCTGTTCTGATACCTAAAAATAGGAAACTGCATCCTTCACATCAACTACAGCAAAAACTAAGTCTTCGATTTCCTACGGTGATCCACGGACAATTAATATGAGTTGAGAGTCCCAAAATACGCTCAAAAGCTGATTTTTGATTCATTAACAGTAAACTCCTTTGCTTTCAACAACCATGACCATAGCAACACGTTGGCCTAATTATTTACGAAAAGTTACAAACTATCTTTTCACCAACTATGACGATGAAATGAAAGAATTTTAACATATAGAATAAAACATTAATTGATTTCAAGCCATTGAGACAATAGAATGAAATTAAATTATCAAAACATCGTTGATTACCTGGCGAGAATAAAAAGTTCCCTGACCATCCTTGAGCCCTCTCCAATAAATTTTTGTACCAGTTCTGAGCCAGATACTCTAATGAAGGTACACTCTGTGTGGTGGGCGACGGCGCGAGCTAACAGAGTTTTGCCAGTTCCAGGAGGACCGTACAATAAAACGCCCTGGCAAAGCAAGAGAGAAACTTTGAATAAAATTAATCAAACATAGCAGATTAAGTATCAATGAAATGACCTCACAATTTCAAAAGACGGCTTTTTGAACGAAAGAAACAGGAAAAGAGATGAACGGCTGCGGGTAAAAGCTCTCCTTACTTTACTGTAGGACTGAGCTTGTTAAAAGAAAGACAACTTTTTAGGATTTTCTTTTCAAGTTTGTTTTCAATTTACTGAGCACAATTAGATTTTGGTTTAAAGAGGCATCAACGCAAAAAATTGGCATCGCCAAAAAATTTCGTCGTTCTAGTTTGTTATGTGAACAGCAAAGACTATCGCAAAAAGGCTCAATGTTGTTTGGAATACAGAAAGGGGGTCTAATTTAGGGGAAGAAGCGAGAAAGGGTACGAGTGTCTGCGAACGCGGGTCGTCTAAAGGCCGGTATCGGAAGATTTAAACGACCGCGTGATTGTCACCATGCTCGCTGAAAATTGAAAACAAACCATTTTTGAACGAACACGGCGCAGAAAATTGAAAAAAAAAACGTTTTCTATTCTGGACAAGCTCTCACCAGTGTGGGTCAGCAAGTAGTATAATTCTATCATACATAGGTTTGAATACCATTCTATTCGTTCTATGACGGAAAAGTTCAGCATCTAATACCTGGTAGGCCTAGAGAGCGGTTCAAAACTTTATTTTTGATTGATTAAATTTTTTCTTAGTTATATCAACTTTTTTAATTTCATCGAAGTTAGCAGCCATTACCGCTAGGCAGAAGCTTGTCTTGTGCCGAGAAATCCCCATTGACCGAGAGCTCTCATAATTATTTCGGATTTCACATGATCAGTCAATTATTTGTTGATGACCATCGGACCGTAAAAATACTAGGTTACCAAAAATTCAACCGTACTGGTTTCTCTCGCTTGTTTCGCGCAACATGTATTTGATACAAAGCATGTAAAACCATTTTTCGGTAGAACTTTTGTTCCCACTTCAAATGACCAAAATCTTTTAGCAATTTCGGGGGTCGGAATTCTGCGTTGGTGCTTCTATAAACAACTGGAAGCACTCTCCGTGGGTTGTTTATCTATGGAGAGAGCTCCTTTACTAAGAGATTTTTTGCATATTTTGAATTCTGTCATATCATGTTTTATATCATGTCATGTAGATAAATCCCTAAATGACCCTGCACCTGAAAAACTAGATAATATTTTCGTAAAATTGTCGAATCTTCATACCAGCGTGTTAACAAAATACAAAATGCAATCTTGCTATACCAAACATGAGAACAGGTGATGGCCAAAATAAAATTTGCGTTTCAAGGAGCAAATGCGTGGAATAGACTTGACTCGGAAATGAAATTAGTCTTCAGGATTCAGTCACTCAAAACGAAATTAAAAGCTTTATCTTTATTTTTTATCGCGTTTCGTAGCTTCTTTATTTTATCAAATTATTGTAAAAGGTTTTTATCTTTAAAAATTTGGTTTAATACTCTGGCTGAGTCAACGGAAAAGCAGTTTAATTAATTAACTGAATTGTATACCAGGGTGAATACGTTCAAAATAAAAATAAAAATGTCAGTCTTTGCATTTTTATTGTAAAATTGTTGTTCAGATTCAAAATGCTCTAATAATTCAAATCAAAGTATTGAAGTAAACTTATTATCAAGATACAAGAGGAAATATATGACACTTGATCATAACTAAAACAAACTCTAGCAGACACAGTAAATCCCTGCAAGAAAAAACCTACTCAATATTTCAATTCCATGTTTTGGAAAGGCACAAATGTGTTTGAAAATAAACAATACAAAGATTTTGGGCCTTTGCAGCTCAATTACGTAGAATCCTTGGCCAAGGTGCAAAATTTTCTGAAGATACCAGTTACATTAAGAACCACACCAATGTATATCTTTCAGCCTAAAGAAGATTCTTATATATTAAGTGATTCATAAAAAGATATTTCGTAGGTTCTTGAATTCTTTTATTTTTTGAATCAATTTATTCTCCCTTTACCCTTCCCTCTCCAATAAAAGCAACCCCTCTCTAACGCACCCATCCCATCTCCATGGTAGATACCCAATTTGGTCCTTTTCTCTGTAGATTATTTGTTTCTAAGCTGAGACCTCCACCGAAATCTAATAATAAGTCAGAAAACTCACCTTTGGCTGTGCGATTCCTAGAGCTTCAAATAATTCTGGATGTTTGACAGGAAGTTCTATGACCTAAAAAACAAATGTGAGACCCAGATTCATAAACCAGAAAAATTATTTCGTAAAGCAGGACATCTTTGTTAAAATATAAAAATAATGAAGGCTTAGATCCTAACAACAGTCTAAACATGGCTCACGATAAAAAAGATTAACTTAAGTTGAAAGTAAGCAAAAGTATTAATATCCGGCTGATTCACATATACCCACGTGTTGAACATCTTTTTGGGATTTATTCACGTATACAAAGCTCAAATTACAACTAATAATTTAAAAATGGCTTTGAAAAAAGCAAACATTTTACAACATACTAAAAGCTTTTTCATCTGACACTCCCCAGAGCATAAAACGTCAGAATCAGGGTCCGAAAGAACACGATGAAAAATATATTAAATAGAAACACGATAAATAAATAGAAAATATATTTTTCATCGTGTTCTTTCGGACCCTTGCCCTGAGCCTGAGGAGTGTCAGACGAAAAAGCTTTTAGCATGTTGTAAAATGTTTGCTTTTCAAAGCCAATTTCAAATTCTGTACCGCAAAAAAATTGTTCACAATAATAATTTAATTATCAATAGTGTGCGTACACCCAAATATGAATTTGCTTAAACATATTACCAATTTTGAAATATAAAAGAACTTGTCATGCACTTAAAGTACACAACATTCACGCCAAAAATTTAGAAACATCAGCGGTATAAAATGCAATGTATAAACTCCAACATACTTCTTTAATTTCTTTGATTTGTTTATCAAGGCCTCCCACCATCTCGTAGGTGGAATCTGGTACTTTCTCCACCATCATCAGACTCACAAGAGGATCAACCTGTCAATGCAGAAAAAGCCATTATAACCCAATCAGTTAGACAGTTTTATCGAGTCACTATATGTCACATGAAAAGTTGATCGTGTTTTGGGTCACTGGTATTTCTAGCCAATGATTTGATGAAGTCCTGTGTCTAAAACGTAAAATTATATATAGGTAAAACTGAACCCTTACTGATTTAAAAAACTATAATCAAAAACACACTTCTACGGGCAACAAAATTTTCAAGAACAAATTATAAACGTGCATGCGTGTTATTATTTATGGTTCCTGAAATCAATAAAGGTACCAAGTTACCAAAACAAAAATTATCGGATTTATAGAATTTATCCAGCATAGAATAAATAAAAAGATCACAATTGTTATTCTATGAATCAATGGATGGAATTCAACTATCTATTCCGAATTCCTTCTAGCTAAGAACAACTGGTTTATGACAGCAAAATACGACGTAGAAAGATTGCTTTGTGTCAAATCTTCATACTTACTTTCGTTGGTAGAATTTTATGCAGCGAGTAACTATCGTTTCTTAGAGCCACCCTAGAGTTTGCCGTCACCTGAAAAACAATGACAAATAAGAGTAGACGAAAAGAATAGAGCACTGGAAATTTCAAGGGGACTGATGTAATGTCCATTGGCGATAAAAAGATAGGAAAGAAAGAAAGTTTATGTAATTTTCCAGGGGGTGGGGGTGGGGGAGGGTGGGTTAACAGCAATCGATTATAAACACAGTACGATGATTTTATGACCGAAACCTGACTTTTACACGTCTGCAGTTGAAATATTATGCGCATGCTCAGAAAACGTTCGCTAAGACCCGACACCAGAGCGAATCAGAGACAGCTTCGAAAATTATAATAAAACAATCTTTTGGTGGAACAAAATTTGATAATGGCTTTGAAAGAAGCAAACATTTGAGTAAACTAAAGCTTTTCGTCTGATACTCTTCAGAGTATAAAACGTCAGAACATAGATCGAAAACTCTACGCTAGGAAATATATATACCCAGTTGTGGATCGAAATAGGCCAGTCAGAAATGCGAGCACATGACTGTTGAGGTTGACCAATCAGTGCCGCTTGCCTATTGAGAATGTTACAAATGGAGTCCTAAGATGAAAACGAACTCCTTCTGTCTGCACAAAAGCGGTTTTTTCGTGGTTATGTAGATAGATTCCAGAACTGCTAGATGGATCGACGATCGGGCTTTACCAATAATCCGAAACATGTTGCCATTATAGTTTTTTACACAATCTGGGTTTTCCAGTAAATGCTGCCCGATAGCAGAATCGCAGGTTTTCGTTGTACTTTTAGATCTGCAAGACCAAGGTGGCTGTTCTCTTTGGGGATAAGTTTTGTTTCTAATACTAGACGGAACATGTTGTTTATTCTATTCTCCAATCTTTGGGTAGTGCGTCCTACGTAGCCAGAATCACACTGGCACGTAAATTCATATACAACGGAACTCTTTTGTGAGGCAGGAACGCAATTCTTTTGAATGGAGGGAAGGGCCTTTTTCGTACGGTAAACAATACGTGGATTCACTGCAAAGAAACAATTTGTAATGGCCTGTTTTATTTGGCTTTCAAAACGCAGGGAACTGTCACCGATCCAGGGTTGTTTTAGATAAAATTTTAATCTGGAAAAAGGCGCTTTAAGTTGCGCGATCGTTGTAGCAATGCAATAAAAAATGTTGACCACGTCAAGTGGGAGCTAATAGCTGCAACTTAGAACTGCCTTATTCTAACTATCACAGCACTAACAGCTCTGGCTATATGACATCGAGCAGTATAAAAAAACTAGTAAAATCTTTTCAACCATTTATATTGATATTTAAGTGATATAGCAAATCTGCTGTATACTATAAATTCTCTGCTATAAAATTGACACATTTCATCCTACGCCACGAGCATTCACTCGCAGCTGCAACATTTTCAAAAACCAACAACTGCGTGGCAAGATGCTGTTTCCAACCCACTCATCAAATGTGAAAAAAATTCAAATCTGATTTCAAGATTTCCTGCATATCGTTTCATGCTACAGCTGCAATATCCTTACCTGGGACATTTCAATGCTTTTATCGAGATCAACAACGTATTTTCCTTCGGGATGAACCTGCAAAACAAGATAATCAGTTGAGAAGATCTGACATACAGAGATAAACGCCATTAATTTGTTTCAATAGATTCGCATTTGCTGAACACTCACAGCTACAAATTAACATGCAAACACATTAATGTGCATAACAGCTTTTGAAGCAATCAAACAAGACGTGCATTTTCTCTTGTCGTGAGATTAACACATAATACTAAGCAAGAGCGTAACCGTTAATTTTGTCACATCATTTAACCAAATACATCCACAAGAACTTCATCAAGCAAGGATCCAATCTACAAATTGCTAGAGTATATATCGCACATACATAATGACCTCGTGACTTCAAAAATCTAGTTGCTAAAGCAAACATGTTTGGTCATAGGTATCAAAACAGATTAACTATTTAAGGCTGGCATTAGTTAACTCAGTCGAAGAGCAACCTGAATCACCACTTCGTCCTTACTTTTTGTATTATAATGTCCATTCATAGATCAAAATTTGTTATCAAATTTCAGCTACCACAAAGGAAAATTAATGTTTTTAGCCCTATTGTGAAAATGATTTTGTTTGCTAGCAAATGTGTGAGACCTTCACACAAGAACGAACAGTGTCGTGTTTTTATCATAAATGCCAAACAAAGCCGATAATTTTTCTGTAACTAACAAAACAAGGATCGTGTCTAAGCATTAAACCGTATAATAGTTACCTTGACAAGAACTTTCTTCTTATCCATTGGTTTCACTACTTCACCGACATAAGAACCTTGCTCTTGAAGAAGTTGCAGCTCTTCTCTAAGCAGGCGAACTAAAGACACAATCAAGTGTGTGAGTACAATGATTGCAAAACTTTGATACATTCAATAAAGTATTCTTGTAAAAGAACCTCTTTAAAAAGATACTGCAACGGTACCATTACTATATCAAGCCTAAACTTTAGGTTTTATATAGTAGTTGGTACCGTTGCAGTATCCTTTAAAGAGGTTCTTCTACATGAATACTTTATAAAGTGTAAACTGAAAAGCACACAAGCTTTGAAAATGTTAGGTATATTTTTGGAAGTCATGGCAAAATGTTTAGCAGGGCTGTTATCAAAAACCCATTTAAAATTTCGAACACAGACAATATTGCACACAAAACAAACATTCCATCATAAAATACCACAATTTTGGGGAAACAGCAATACTGCTTGATATTTGCTTCAGCAATTCGTTTAGTTCTAACATGAATCTATCTATGGACTATCACATATCAGAATTTAATAGTGTGCCTAACACGCTTGCCATTATACGAAGAAAGTTTATATCTAGTTGAAGTTGAACTAAAAATCACATGCATATTGACTTTAAAGAAAAAAGGAAAAAAAACTTTCAAAACAATACAGTTATTCAAGAATAAAAATGATAGTCTCTTTAGTAAATTACAGGATACTTGAAAAGTGCTACAGGATTACAGGATATTTCTGTTTCTTTAGCTTTCTTATTATTAGTATGAATCATTCATTGTGACATGAAACAACCATACATTATAATGTTTTTACTTATACCTTTTGTTAACGACCCAAGCTAGATAAGTACATAATTATTCTTAGGTTGGGTCGTGTATATTACAGTATAAGTAGTATTCTAATAAAATTGAACTGAATTGAGTCAAATTGACATTATAAGCAGACAATATGTAAATAAAGTTACAAATGCTTTACCTTTTGCATTAAGTTCATTTCTCTGTGCCTCTAATCTTCTAAGGTTTTTCACTTTTTCAGAAACAACAACCTTCAATTTAAAATAAAAATCTTTTTAACATGGCACACATTAGATATATAAATTATAGGTTATAAACTACATTGGTCATAAAACACATAGTATAAACTAGCTGCTGTATAGAACAGGATGGTTCTAATTTGCTACCCTAGCTGGGTTTCATGCATAATGCCATCATCAGGCAACTAAACAGTAAAGTGTGAAACTAGGAGCAGCAACTTATAACTGCCCTGTTCTATACAGCTCTGTCTATATGGCATCAAGCTCTTTTTGAAAGAACGGAAAACAGTAATTTGCATAGGTTAAAAACCACATTGTGGTGCTCAGAGTTTTAGTCAACGAAATGATAAAAAGAAAAATGAGATTCGCTGGCCACATTATGAGGGGATCATCCGGGTTCTTGGCAAGGCTTGTTTTGGAAGGTATGATTGACGGAAAAAGAGACAGGGGAAGGCAAATAAGAACATGGGGTGACGATGTCAAGGAATGGAGCGGGCGTGAGAGCATTGGGAGAGCTGAACGATATTCTGAAGATAGGGATAGTTGGAGGGTCATGGTAGCCAACCTTCTGATAGAAGATGGTACCTGATGATGATGATAAACCACATTGGTAACAATAAATTCAAATTAAGGTTTCGATTATCAAATACACTGATTTCTCTGCAGATGACAAAATCTACTACATGAGGGAAATAAACAACCTATACACAGTTGGAACATCTTTCTTGCAATCTTTGATTGACTTTATAAACACAACTAAGTTAGCTCGTCACTTCTTCAAAATAGCTTAACACTTAGTAGGTAGTATCAAGTGCTATCATAACCTTCTTATATTTTTCAAAAATAATTAGTGCTCATTTACTTGCAATATTAAGATAAATTTACTGCTTGAGGTGTAAGCCATAATCCCACATAGAAACTTTAATAAAATATTTTCTTACATCCAAACTATTGTTAGCAAAGCACAGGGTTAGAGGGAGGTGCTCTGGGTACACTCTAAAAAACATTACAGATGTACTCTTAGAAATCAGTTTGAAGATTATAGACATAAAAATGATCATTTCCTAATCTCTTTTTACCCAAGTGCAACTTGCATTCAGCAGCTTGACACAAGACAGGGCCAGCGCCATCGATTCTAAAGTGGGGGGGGGGCCAAAAATTGGAGTTACCTATTCAATACCTAAAAGGGGGATTTGATACCTATAGTTGGCGAGAAAAGTGGGGGATCATGGCCCCCCCTTTGGCCCAGGCCCTGCAATATGTAACGTTTTAGGACTTGTATTCTTCAGTAATTATTATTATTATGTTTAGCTAGATCTTTGATTATGTTGCGTGTTAATGTCACATGTTTGTTTGTCACGCTGTTGTGTTAGTAACTCCCTTTCCGGGAAATGTGCGTCACTGTCATCGTGTTGTGTGATGTTTCACAGTGTTCCTTTGTTTGTGTTTTAATATAATGTAATCCTACTTAGAATAATTTAGTCTTACTGTTTTAACGATAAACATAACATCAAAGAACGAATATCTCTTGTGTGCTATCTACTTGGGGCTAGGCCCGTTGGCCCAGCCCATCGCTCAGCCAACGAACTGATACTTCACCGTCATAAGAAGAACCCTATCGTTACAAATACATGTCAAAGATACCCACAATTTATAAGTAAATCTTTTTAAGGCAAAATTCCTTTGCATAAAGAAACCGCAAAAAGTCAATTTTTTAATTAGATAGAAAAGAATCTTGTATTAAATGATTAGATGTCTATTTTCAGTTCAATTGACAATAAGAATTGTTTTGTTCGCATCTGCATTAAATATTGGAAATTATTTTGCTACCCAAGGTTTTTCTTTGTCATTTCTTATCCAAAACGTAGATATTTGGCATTATAACAAAAAGAAATTGGTATTTGAGAAACCTTTAAGAACTATTAAGTACTAAAATTAACAAAAAAGGAAGCAGAATACAGATTCTGAGCTTAGTTTCTTACAAAAAAGGCGTCAATGTCTCGGTTACTTAATTGTGCACAAGGCCTACCTGTAACTCTTCTATTTTGGTAACATAATATTGTTGTAAACCATCATGAGAACCAGGCTCTTCAACCTCCATCTGAAAACGAAATAGAATATTGCATAAATTTTCTGCCATTTTTGCAATATCAAAATATGTCAAAATATGCCTCAAAATAGTACCAAATATCTTCTAGCACAAAAAGTGATAATAATTAAATTTTAATTATAACGATACACTTAATGTTTTAATGCATTGAATCCAGTGGCGTAGCGTGAGCGCAGAACTTAGGCATGCAGTAACATAAAATATACGGCTATGTTGAATGAATGTAATCGTATTTTCAGCTTCTTAAAAAAAACGGTAATTAATGATAATTGTGATAATAAATTTTGATTTTGAAAGTAACAAATCACTTGTACTCTAATTCTAATCAATCAAGGTGTCTATTCTTTGCATCAGAGGCTCCGACAGAGGTTGGAAAGTGAAGGGGGGGGGGGCCAAGGGAAAAATTATCACCCATGCGAAAGTTTTTGAAAAAGCTCAATTGTTTTAGCAAGAATTTTCAGAATAACTCCTAGTGTTAAAACTGCTTCGCAAAAGATTTTATTCTTATTCATATTCCTCAAGAAAAGGCATCACCTAATGCCCACCTAATGTAAGAATCTTTTATGCTATAATGAAGCTGGGGATTCCCGCAAGGAGGAGCTCTCCACATTGCGAAATTGTTAATACACTGCAGAGCCTAAGCGAACAGGAGCAACAGTTTCTGCTCATTTTTTACTCTCATTGTTAACGAAGATGAAAATAGTGAGCTGTGAGAGTTGTTAGAATTGAAGATGCTTCCATGTGTAAAGTTTCAGAAACTTAGTCCCGGCAAATCATCATGTATTTGGCAAGGCTTGCGCTCAGGTCTACCGCATGCCCTGGTCCGTAAATTCTGACTATACGGGCAAGCCTTTTGACTTGAATTACGGAATGTGGATCATGACAAATAGACTATGACCCCACTTTGACGAAACCTTTTCTCTTTTCAACAGTCACAAAGTAAATAAAGCGAAATAATTGGATTTGAAATGATATATCACGCAAAGAATATTCGCAAAAAGCAGCTTATAGGTAAAATAATTTTGTGGATTATCAAATATTTGGGAAGGCTTGCGCTCAGGCCGACCGCAAGCTCCAGTCCGGAAAATTCTCACTTCTCTCAGAAACTTCTCTCGAGTTGCACTGAAGCTGCACTGGAGCATCACATGTTTCTCTTATTTCAGACAGGCATAAAGAGTGATGTGGAGGGGCTTCAGTTTTTCAGATTTTTCAAATTTCAAAATTTTTAGCGATCTGTTTACTTGGAAAAATAGCCCATTGGGGCCAATTGGCCTGTTGGCGCTAGAGTTCACCGCATGCTGCTCATGACAAGAAAGAGAAGCCGTTTATTGCGGAAATTGTTATGCATTGAAAGTGTTGCAAGAATTTTAGAATTTGTCTATAAATTTTTACGCTTGCGCCGCAAGCGTAGCATACATAGACGCTACGCCACTGATTGAATCAAATAATCTTACTATCAATCTTCATAATACATAGTATCCAATGTATCTAAAATTGTCTGAAATATGAAAGTATCAAGAACAAGTTGAAAATGATGTGCTTGAGATCCTTTTCAAAAACATCAACAGATTCCAAAGCTCTTACTCTGATGAAAAAAAATTCTAAAGCTTTGATGCAAAAGCTGTAAAGGCTCTGTCACTACAGTACTAAAGATGAGAACATTGTTCACAAGACTGATAAAATAGACAAGAGTGTGTAGTGACCACTTTCCAATCGAAATATGTCTTCCATTGTATCACTGTCAATAACACCCTTCATTGTCTCTGTATCCACAGTTACGTAATCAACAACACTTTTCTCCCCTTATTTTATGTTTAAACACCCTGTTTTGTAATTAATCAGTACTTTCATCAAGACGCATCGGTCAGGCAACAATGTCTTTTGCTGGCTCCGTGTTTTCTGCATGTTAAACAAGACATGGACAGCAAATTCGGAAAAGAGCTTCTTATCATCAAATGGAATTATAGGAACATCATTAATCAGGATTTCTATAAGTGTAGTTCATACTTCCACTTCTTTGGCTCAGTCAAATCACAAATATTGTTCTAGAGCGACATTAAGAATTGCTTTGATATTGAAAACATCCCATGACATTTAACTGAATGCTATTAGTTTTGGCAAAGCTATGTTCAAATTTTGGCATACCCAGTATTTGCCTTGGAGCTGAATACTATGCATTGGCCTTATGGTCGATGCTTGGATACAAATATCAAAGCAATGTCAGTTCTAGTCTAGATGTGATAGTACCAAGGCATTTTAAATATGTTTTTGCTCTGTTAACAATTTAAAAGCTTACAAGCCAATGTTTTGAAATGTTAATAGCATTGCCTCGGTGTTGAGACAAAATGATTAATACAAAGCTGTAAACTTTATAACCCATTACCAATTTATCAAACATTTCAAAAACTTCACTTAGGATGCTTGCGTATACATTAAAATGAATGCAAAGGACCCAGCACAGGAACCTTGAGGTACCCCATAATTCAACTTGGTGATATTGGAGAAAGTGCTTTTTATCTTGACTCTTTGTGGTCTCCGTTCAAATTTAGTAAATTGAATGAAGCCATTCATGTGTGCCAAAACAGTTGGCTTTTTTCAGACTGATTTTCAAGAACCTTTTTCAAGGTATTATGATCGATTGTTTTAATGGAAAAGGCATATTTACAGACTACAAATATTGAACCATATCTAACCATATCTAAACACTAACCATATCTATACATTGTGAACCATATCTAAACAACAAGATCATACATTGCTATCCAGAACTTAAAAACATGATGTTTCTCTACCAGTTTTGCCAATCCTTTGCATGTCAACCATTAAAGGTAAGAAGATCAACACCGAAAAGCCAACCATAAGTATAACAGAGTAGGCTTTTACATTTGACACTGCCAGATGTGAAGTTGGATTAAAAGGGGCCTACCTCAGGAAGGGCCAGCTCAGTGCAAAAATCTTCTCTTTAAACAGACTGAAATCCAGGAGAAAGCTTCAGGTGTAATTTGAAGCCAGACAAAGTATGTAGCTTTCTTAGTTGTTTTTTGTCACAAATTGCACTTTCCTATCTGGCCTGTAACTTTTATTAACTAGATTATGTTTCAACAAAGATTTCTTTTCAGTAACATGGACAATGTCTATTTGGGAATGACAGATGAACTTTTTTCAAGATAAAATAATTAAGACAGCAGTCTGTTGTTTTGAAGTTAATTATGAATCTTTTTAGCTAATCTGTTGAAATCTCTTCAACTTGAAAAGGAATTACTCTCCGGTCTTTGTATTAAGTTTATAGCAACCATACAATGTTTTTCTGAAGCTTTTTGATCTTCAATTATTCTGTAACCTCTTCTAAACATCCTGGGGAGGGGGTTAACTCTGGAATGTTGGTTAACTTGTTCACAACTTCAAGAAACTTTCTGATGTCTACTTTGACACCCTTCTAAACTTTTCAGAAAAGATACTTTTGAAAATTATTTTCAACTCTGTAACTTGATAACCTCTTGACTTAATAGAACTTTGAAACCAGCTCAAGAAAATTACCATTTTTTGTGAAAAGTTTTAATTGTAGTATTTTCATCTGAATAATCAGTTGTATTTTAGATGTACTTTGATGTCCAGGAGGAAGTCATGATATTTTGCTCCTCTTCCTATCATTCTTGCAATAGTATTATACCTGTTTGTGGGTAGTGCCTCAATTATTTTGTTTTGTATTGAATATCATATACAAAAAGGTTTAGTCTAATGCTTCTCAAAAACGAAAAAAATAGAAAACAAAGTGAGGACATTGTACAATGTCTAGTTTGTCTTGTATGCTCTGATGGTATTTTAGTGTAACTTGGCATTTTATACACATGAAACTATAAAGGATTATCTACAATTTAAGCATCAATTAATTGAAAAGTACTCGACAATTTTTTCCTTCTAGCTACTTTTTTGGATAATAGGCATCAAGTCTAGAATATAACTATTGTTGGTGCCAATAGCAATATGAAGAGAGATCTCTTCTATTCATTTCACATTCAATTCATTCATTTTTATTCAAAACAGACATCTGTCTGACAGAAGGATGCTGTATTATATTTGTAGCCCATTCCAATTTCAAATCAAGGATACAGCATCAAAATAGATTTGAGTAATCAGCATAATGTCATCCAGCCTTCACTTAACCTTTTTGAGTTGCTTTTTCAGGTTGCATTCTTTTAGGGGATGGTTATTTTTTAGCAAGAAGGGCATTTTTGTTAAAAGAGCAGTCTTTGTGACATGAAAATAGGCTGTGTGCTGTGAGTGGCACATCTTGATTACTTTGCACTTTTGATAGCATGCAATGCAAACTGGACAGCTTTTTGTCTGTTGTTTTTCATTGTTGTTATCAAGAAATATAGGGTACTGCTTTCAAGGAGACCTTTTGCGTTATAAACTGAACGAACACCAGGAAATTGGCAGAGAAATGGATTAGTTCTTCTATAATGAAATCATATTTTATTGGTTGATAAATTTCCATCATACAAAGTCTTTGAATCAAAGAATTTTCATTTTTAATAGACCCTATTGTCCATAGAATTATTACCATGCAAAGCTACTGACTTCCCTATTATTGCTAAGGTAGAGGATATCATTGTAGATACTCATCACAAAAATATTATAAAAAGATATAAAAAATATAAGATAATCTTGTATCCATTTGATCAAGCTATCTTACATGTTTATGTAAAGAATAGTATTGATTTTCGCTGTCTGAACTGCTTTTAAATCTGGTGACTTTGACTTCCTGCTGCAGTAAAAACGTATTTTCCAACTTTGGGGATGCTGAATTTTCCTTGGGAATTTTTGGTTCTGAGTTTGATGCCTTGCACACCTTTGGGCGTGTGTTGAGGTGAGTGTGTGAAATCGCACACCTTATATTACAAAACGGCAATCTGTGTTTTGCTGGACCCTTTCCACCCATATATATACCTTCTTTCTCATTGTAATTTCAAACTCAAATAAAACTAAACATAATTATAAAGCATATAAAGCATAATTACACAGAGAGCTACATAACTATTGTCTAGGGTCTACTTTTGGTAAGAAATGATGTTGTAAATAACTCAAATGCATTTTCTGGCTATCCTTAGAATGTCATATTCCAAAAAATTGTCTGGCAGACAGCCATGGTGGCAGCCTTCACTGAACCCCAGAATAATCCAAAAATTTTGCTCAGCCTCCATTTTCAACAATGTTTTCAAGTCTTGCCTCTGGAGCTGATATTCATATCTTGGGTGCTGCTTAACCAAACTAATGTATCTGGTAAATCAACCAGGAATCGGAAAAAATTAACCCCATTGTGTTTTGATCAGGAGATTATATTCCAAGATATCTCATGACTTGCTCTGAGAGAACATACAATTTGATTGCATATTTGCTTGGTGCAATAGATTTTTCGTGTTTGGGAGTTAAGAGCCCCTTGGAACCATCCCTAATAAATATTGAGGTCCCTGATAATGCTTTTTCATGCAGTTTGGTGAAAGAGACACTATATATATTCCAGTGTATGTTGCACAACAATATTCCAGTATGCATGTAGACAGTACTGTGTCCTTTAAATTCAAATTGGGTGGGCTACCATAGCCATTGTATTGCTTGCCATTCAGTATACTATTATAAAGAAGATATAGCACAGTTCAAAAATTATTGGCAAGAATGCTATTTTTGCCAAGATGGCTAGCATGCAAGGAGACTTTTCACTTGTTTCCAGGGGATAATTTTTGCTAATTCTTTTTTGGTTTAATCTTTGGGCCTGCAAAGGGGACAAACCAAATCACCGAAGGCATTTTGATGGGAATGTGAGTTAATGATGTTATTTTTTCAAACAACGATGTTACCTTGACGCACATTGGAATGTTCCAAACAGAACTGATCCAGATTTTTCTTTGAAAACGACTCGATTAATTTCGAGCCCAAAACACCTTTCCAGACTTTTCAAAAGAATGAAATATCCTTGAACAGAAATGTGACACGTAATTCACAAGAATGTGATATTTTTGTACCTATTGCTTGATGTGGAAGCAGCATTCCTTTAGTGCAATGTCCAAAAAGTGGCAAAACGTCGGATTAAATCTCGGGAGTGCAAATTATATCAATATTCAGGAAGTTGGGTGGAAAGGGCGTACAATTTTCTAAAGATAATTCCAATAATTTTCTTGACTATAAAGAAAAGGGTAACGATGAAATGCTCGTAGATAACTGCGCGAGGTCAAGTCATTTTATGTGAGATGCGTCTCATTCAGTTTGTCCGCGATATCCGTTAGGCTACTTCATACAATAAAAAACAACTCAATAGCCTGGGAACTTAAATAATAATTGCAGAAAGAGCTACCTGGATAGCAGCCACATCTTTTACTCTCTGTTTGCCATCAGTTTTCTTCAAACTACTTCTTTCTGAAGGGATATTAGATATCAATGTACTGGCCGCCATCTTTCGTCACGATATTGTTGCAATGGCAGCCACTGTGCGCTTCTAGGGAGTCTGGAGATCAGTCAAAATGACGCTGCAGGTTCCATTGCTCCTTCACAGTAACACAACGGTTATGGCGAAAAAATTTTCATTTCCTTTTCAAAATAAATATTCAAAATAAAATTTATTTCATGACAGCAATGATAGTAATTTACTAACTAAATAAAAATGACAAGGTTGAAATTCTTGGTTAACATACAAATATAATAAAACCCAATCAACAAATTCATTATGATACGGAGAGAATGCTTCTCGGGTCCAGCGCTCTATGAACTGAACTGTACAAAAATTTGTGTTACAGACAAATAATTTCAAATTATTTTTATTTGAGAAACGTGAAAATTTCTTAATAGATGTTTGTAGAAACCCATAACCAATATCGAAAAAGGCCGGGAGGGACAACAGGGGCAGAGAAGTTGTTAACCTTCCTCCAAACAAAAACAACCAAGAAGGCAAACCTTCCTCATAAAACATTAGAAAGTGGCCGTGGCTTGGGTGTGGCATATGAGCTTCTATTGTTTTTCATGGACCTTCCTCCGGTTAGTGCGACCGTAATGTTTTCCTAACTCTGAAGAGGGGATACGCCAAGATTAAGATGTCGAATAAGCGTTTCATTTGATATCAGTGTAGTTGCTAAAAATCCGTAAACTGTTTGGATCTTTAGCAAAAAAAATTACATTATACAGTAAATAGCGTAGCTCTGACATAAAAATGATCCACATCTAATTTTCCGGTTTTCCTGAGGGAAAGTTAATTCTATTTGAGATACTTCTTTCTGGATGTATCTTTTCAAGTTCTTTCATTTTTTCAAGAAAGAGATCTAGGATTGATTGCAGCACAACCATTTACCAGAATACACTTTGTTTGAATTCCGGAGCCGGGGAGCAGTGGCGGAGCAACGGGGGAAATAAGGGGACTATTCTCCCCATTTTTTCAGAAAGTCAGTCCTCAAGTTTCTTGCAGAGCTGATGAGAAAACTTCAGGGGGGGGGGGATATGTACGTTATCTAGATCGTCACATTTAAATGACATTTCTTGGGAGACAAGAGTTGTATCCTCCGGAAGAACAAGTTTCAATCAGGAAAAAAGGGTGTGGTCCAAAAGAGCGTGGTCTCTGACACACCTTTCGCCCCTCCCATTTATCCCAGACTGGAGCTACCACTGCCGGGGAGGGGGCATGGGGCACAGCCCCTTGATTGGAAAGAGTGTAAAAAGTGCCCCTTTTGAAAAAATATTGGGTGTACTTTTTCACAGCCAGCAATTTTGCCTTTAGACGCCAGGTAAAACAACTTAAATCTAGGCGTTGTTGGAGAATCATTCACTGAAATTTCCTCAATTCTTACTTACAATATCCACTGAAAAGGACACTGTCAGTTTGGCGAAAAAACTTCCTGTGTGTTTTCAGCAACAAACGCATTAGTGAAAGGTCAGCATAAAGTCTAAAGAGAGTTAAAAACATGCTTCGTTCATGTAACCAAAGGACGACTGAACCACTGCATGATTCTTTCGATACACAAAGAAAAGGCTGATGAGATGAACCTAATCAATGCTGCAAATTAATTTTGCCATTGACAAGAACGTACCCGCACCTTCGGCCGATTGCGGGAAGATGACTTAAACTTAATATTTTGCAGCATTCAAAAAATATTTCATGTAGCGTAAGGATAGGAAGGCGCGAAAACCAAAACGGACTAGAATTGCATAAATGTTAAAATAAGAATATTAAAATCATTGTTCGAATGGGCTTTAGATAATCATAGAGACTGAAACTTCGCTTTGAAGTAGAAAGAGACTAAAAATTCGAAAATGGCTTTCAGTTCTTCACGTCATATTTTAGGTTTTTATTAATTTTGCATGTATGACTGCATCAATGTTGATTTATTGGTATGATGCAATTAATCTGAGCATTTGTTGAGCATAATGCGCCTGCCACATGTACGGGGGAAGGATTGTAATAGAAATATGAAATGAATCATACATGGAAGAAAGATCTCTTAATAATGTTTCAGAAAATAGATGTTTGTGCCCTTTTTATTCGTTTTGCCCCCACCTCTCTATTCAAACCTGCGTCCGGCGGCCCTGTAGAAAAAGAACCTAGAAATTAAGGAACATACCGGCCTCATACAGGTTACTTCCCTTTTAAGTAACATTACAGGTTTAATTTTAAAAACATTGCCCCGAACTGGTAGTGGTTGAAAGGATACACCTCTGTATCAAAGCATCATGGACTTTTTTCAACATCAAAGTATTCCTTTTAGATGAGTAAATAATGTGAATAAACCTTTGACTCTATCATCTTCATACTGCCTGACGCGTGTGTATTCATTTGACTTCAAATTTGCAGCCACTTGTTTGCAGAGCTTGATATCCAGGAAGGATACACCCAGTTGCATCTAAACCTGTCATAAAACCTGTTCATCTACAGCAAATTACAAAAATAATTATAAAGCCCAGGCCCGATGATGTTGAAGTGCGCAGGGGCCAACAACCCAACTCATGTTGATTTTCACAACAATAGATTCATGCAAATGCATTACTAAGCAACAATCTTATAATACAATTACTCAGTAACTCTAAGTATCAACAACGCGGTGGTGATGTTTCTTCAAATAGCGACCTGAAAATGCAAACATGTAGATGTGGCTAAATTCCAATTTCTCATAATTTTTTACAACTGTAAAACCAGATGACATAAAGAGTAAGCGTCTACTTTTGTTTCAAGCTAGCAGCTTGGAGAGCAAGCAACATGTTACCTGCCTCTCTTAGCCCTACGGCTGTAGCCACCAGGGAGGAGAAGAAAATGTTTAAAGGAAATTTTAGAGTCACCACTGAGTTTAAAGGGGAAAGTATATGCTTGATTTGTTTGCTCTTTATGAAAATTAGGAGACATTATGGTCTGGGAAGGCTGCAGCTCCCCTCTAATCGGGCAAGATTTGTCGCACTTCAGGCCCCGTTTGGGGAGTTCTATCTCAGTGACGCAATAGAGTTGCAAGTGATGACGTCACAAGAATCTATTTTTGAATTTGTTCTCATAACCTGAAAGAGCATCATGAAATACCTCTAAATCTGCATAATCAGTTAAAGGCATTACGAATTGGCTGAGATATGACCAGATGAGCACAAGCTCTTGCCCCATCAAACCTCAGTAATTTGGTCTCAGTTCATAACTTTATGAACTGAGCCAAAATAACAGTAATCCGTTAGCAAACTTCAAATCTTCTATTGGCCATAGCTCACCAAATGTCTGACAAATATATCTCAATTTGCGTATACAGGAGTAATTTCTGGTTTTCTTTTATGCTATGCGGTCACAATTCGGATAATAGTTTTTTTTGACGTCACACTTGAGAACTCTATATAATATTCGAGCAAGATCCATACAAAGCTCCCTCTCCCCTCCTAAGAGGTAGTTGATACTTCTTTCGCGTGGAATTCAATTTTTATTATTAAATCCGCGATAAACTCATGACAAATCTATCGTCTGAATGACACAAATGAAGTAATAGCTTCGGAAATTTGCCAAAAAGGTAGACTCAGTAATATGATAAAACCACAAATGTGAACGCGAACATCACTAGGAGACGCCTACGTCAAAAAGTCCCTTCATTAAACACGAGCAATTAAATGCCAAGAAGCACACGAATAAAAATCTTTGGAACTCTTAGTTCTTTTCCAGTTGTTGTCAATTTTACAAAAAAGTATATTTACTTTATTTCATGACACTACGTTGAAAATGGGGTTAACTGTTCGATGTTCTTTCTCAGTTTCCAAATGTTATGGATTGCATTTTATCGCGACTTGCAGTGCAAATGCGTATTAAAAAGTAACGGAACCAAACAGTTATCACGAAGCAGCATGCAAGTTTGAAGGGGTCTACCGTAAAGAAAAAATTGCGGACGAAATTGTTTGTTGCTTTATCAATGTGTCCGGTATAGTGTGGGGTCCGATAACGGATTTTGCAACCTCACTAAATTTCGACCAAATAAATATCAACTCATAAAACACAAATATAGGCCTTCTAAGAAAATGATCGTAATCCCAAACTTGGGAATGAAAAGTTTCTAAATCGAGACTGGAAGCAGAAAAATAGACCACATTTTCTCCTCGCTGCTAATTGGTTGAAAAAGAAAAACAAAATACACTTCCAGGGATTGGCGATAATAAAAAAATGAATCAAAACACTGCTGGAAATCAATTGACAAACTGTGACATTTCACTACAATAACGTCAAGGAATTTAAACTGCATGCATGTTAAGATGACTGATCTTGTACTATGTACCAGATGAATGCGTGGTTGTCCAATCTATCAGAAGTTACAGAAACTACGCATCTGATATTTATATATCTACAAAAAATTGTTAATTCTAAAACTGTTCTAACAACAACAGAATATCTATCTAATGTCTATTACAATCAACCAATCTTGACTTGATACGAAACAGTATTGCCGGAATTATTATGGATATGGCGGGAAATGTGGAGGGCATCAGAAACGATTTCTAACAAATAGATTTTTTTTTGATAAAAACTTAGATTCGCAGCAAATATTTATCAATTTACTCTTGTTTTTGTTTGAGATTGAACCTTTTGCGCGAACATAAGAATTTTGACTTATCCCCCTCGAACTGTGACCTTCAACCCAAAAAGCATGACATCTGACCTCCAGCTCTTGAATTTGGTCTCATGATTACCTTTGATAACTTAAGAAAGTACCAAAATATTTCGCATCGATTAAGTCGCGTTTGGAATGGTTGTATCTCAACGAATTGAAAAATCTTCTATCTACGAATAACAACCAGCCCTATTTATAAAATAAAAATGAAAGACGTGTAGTTGAATGCTACGCAGAACTAGCAAATTAATAGCACAAACATTGATGGCTAGGGCACTCGGGGAGGATATTCGTGTAGGTTAAGAGCATAGTTGGCTACAGCATTGGGGTGTCGAGTGTTAACCAACGACAAGGAAACACGAGTCTACTTTGAGATAGACAAGCGGTGTTCATGTTGCTGCATAAGTTATGGTTAAAATAGGTTAACAAAATAGGTTATGGTCCACAGAGTAAAGGTTTTTCTGACAAGTGTGTGGACTGGCTATAGGAAAACGTATGTTTACCTTGAATTCTTTTTCATGCTTGGCTGATTGGAGCTTAGGGGAGTTGAAATGTGAAAAACAAAGTCTGTGAGTCTCTAATGTTAGTTTTAGTTTTTTATGAACCGGGCTTTGCCATGCGCTAATAATTATCAGTACTTGGAGCATGTCTTAAATCTCACTGTCTAATCCTGTTAATCAAGACAGCGGCATAAATTTCATTACGATTATTATCAAGGACCCAAGGGCCTAGCATTTGTGTCTTTTGTACAAACAAAAATATAAAATATAAACTAACATGCAACTTTATGTCACTGCAGTTAAAGCTTAAAGAAAAACGTGAACGAGAAATTCTGAACGGGCATCTAAGAATTCCACTAAAAACCTTTACGTGTAAAAACACAATACGCAATGCGCTAATTCCTGAGTCTAAATTATCTATATTACAATAATTACATTGTTAGTAACTGATAGACCTCAAAAAGCGAATATTAGCTCCCAACAACTGACGCTGTTAACTCTGCTTATTTTCCTCACTGAACGTACAGATTGAAAGGAAATATGAGTGGATGGGTAGTGGGCTTGCCAAGCCACTTGTTTTAGTCTGTTTTAACGACAATAGACTCATCAATCTTTTATAGGCTTAAACAGAGTAAAAAATTGATCAAGCAAGAAGGAAATGTGGAACAGACAGACCAAGTGATAAGCAGAAACGATAAAAAGATGGATTAGAAGAACAAATTTGAGAAGCTTGGAAAGTAATAAAATTAAAGAAAACACCCGACTCTTCAAACGAAAGGAAAAACAATAAGAAAGGGCATAAAGATGCAAATGATGATCCCTGTGGGAGTGCAAATTTTCTGTGGAAACTATTCCCCTGGTATTAAATACAAAATGAGCTTCCTATTTAATAAAATCTTGAGCAAAATGTTAGGATTCAAAGTGTAAGTCATTTCATGACTCGACTTGACTCATGCCGTTTGTGATGCATGCCTCGTTAAACGATGGTCTTTGACCGTTAATAACAACCCCACAAATTTGATATTTCAATCAAACGAGGGTATGGCGATAAAGTCTCGGGACTAAATACCAAGCTATTAATACATGTATTAAGAATCGAAGTTCTAAACACAAATTTAACACCTAGGCAAAAATAATCAATGAAAATTCCACAGGTAACTAACAGAGCGGCTACCCACCCAGTCAAAAAGATCTACTTCTCTCTATTGCTTTATGGATAATGGTGACACCGTGGGAGCAACCTCAGCAAGTCTCATCCGAATAAATGCAACCGGCATTTTCGAGTAGCCTCCTTTCCGCCATATCTTCTGATTGCCCGGATGACCATGAGTATTTGGAGGCCAGCGGACAGTCATTTCTGTCAATGCAAATCTCATTCAACCTGATGTCTCCAAGAGAACTTGATTCCTCCATGTCGCCTTGTGATGGCTGTTCTGATTCGCTCGGTGAAAATTCAAGATATGACTCTTCGTTTCTTTGAAAATCGTCGTAATTTGTTTTGTTATTTCGTACCTCTTGCATTCTTTTCACAACACAAAGAGCGGTCAAACGTGCCTCTGGTTCTGTATCCCAACACTCCTCGATGGTGCTGCGCAGCAATGCGTCACTCTAAAATGCACGCAAAGGAAAAAAATTATGACAAAACCACATTTCTTTCTCATTTTTCTCTGTCAAGCCTGGAAATGATTCTAAAGAACACAAATCACAGAAAAACTCTTTAAAAGATATTCTCGTTTAAATAGATGGTTTTAAATCTATATCAATGAAACAGACAGGACTCAGATCGTGTACTGAATTGCCAATACATTTTCTTAGTGTCAGTACAAGCAAATTATCCATGAAGAAATTTTGAGATGATATCCTTGAGTGACATGAAAGAGCTTTTCAATACTGAGTTAATGAAACAGAAACTTGATATAGGTTCCCCGAAAAAATGATATCAAAACGTCTGAGGTTCATTCCGACCATCCGAGCATCCTAGGCTCTATCCCGACCATCCGACCTTTTGCAATTCTTCATAGTTATCTTGTCGTAGCAAAAAAACGTCTGCTTAAATTTAACAGAAGAAATGGCAATACTTCATTCCATTGACGATACAATCTATAGATCCAGGAGGTTCGGAAAAATAGTCTTTATCTAAATCTTGTTAGGACTGTTACCGCAATTTGCAATATTTTTTAAATCTTGGTAAGGAAACAAGTCAATAAATGCTTAACTGCACAAGAAGCGCACATTAACCGAACATACAAAGAGCAGATTTTACATAAATATTGCTGCTAGAAACAAGATAGATTACTGTCTACTAATCAGCTGAATGTTGTTCCCACACTGAATTAAGACAGGCGTAGCGGAGAGCTGAAACGATTTGCATCCCCAAATAGAAAATAACTCTGTCTGCAGTTTAGGAATTTCAACGACTAGGCCACTTCAACCTAGTTAAAATTTGCCGGGCAGTTCCGTTTTTTAGCTCAGATGGCGACGAGAAGTGAAATCTTGCGAAGGTGATTTAAAATCAATTAAATGTTCAACACAGCTAAGCTTGTTAGTCGATCTACATATGGTTTAAAAACAAACCTTGTCAGGCTCGATCATTGTGACAGGGAATAGCGGTCGCTTTCTCTCTTTGTGCACATGCGCGATCATTTGTGAAGCAGATGGAGTGTCCCCTAATTCCAGCTGATACGGCAAAATCGCATCTGGCACAGGGGCCTGGTCTGTAAAAATAAACCATATCAATAGCAACAGATTGGAAGTGAATGGCTAATGACTACACGCCCTCTAAATTGATTTTAATTTCTGATTAAATGGGACTTTTACAGAGAGACCAAATGTTCATTTCTTGCTTTGTTTGATGACAACAAAAAATACAGCAAGCAAAATGTTTTTTTTTGCATAAAACCTGAAAAGTCCGAAACCAAGGATGACATCTGAAGGAGACTTGCATCTGGCATCTACCATTCCCAGGGAAAAGTTACAATTTGTTTGCTCCAATAAAATCTACATCAACTATCTGACAAATAACTTATTTGGATGTTCCATGACAGATGTCTGAATGCTAAAGTAAATAAAATCCACGAAAGAGCACTCAGAATTGTTTATAAAGACAGTCATGCTGACTACGAAGCATTGCTGACTTTGGATAATGCAGTATCAATTCACCAACGCAATCTACAGAACTTGATGATAGAAATATACAAAACCAAACATAACCTGAACCCTAGTTTCATGAGTGAGATTTTTGAAACAAGAAATGTACATTATGATTTGCGAACTAAAAATAATCTTTGCATTCCAAAAGCCAGGACAACTTCTTATGGTATAGAAACTGAGAGATATTTATGTCAAAACTGTGGCAAACACTACCTCACAGTATAAGAGAGTCCCAATCATTGGCAACATTTAAAAAAGAATTAAGAGCACACCCTATAGAATGCGACTGTAGATTGTGTAAAAAATTTATTGCTGGGTTAGGTTTTATTTAGAACATTATACCTTAAACCTTTTTAATATTGTATCATATATTTTTATTTCATACTAACTCTTTATAGATAGTTGGCCTTAATTAGCTTCTTTATAGCTATCAGCCGTTCATTTAGTACGCCAACTTTAAACAAATTATTTATTATTATTATATATTATTATTATTTCCAGCCTTAACTCCGATATTTTGAAATACACAAGAGTTTGCTACTTAACCTAAAACGGCTATATACCAACTACAAAATATAAATTAAAAAGCAAAATATTAGACAAAACCAAACATTTCTTCAAAGGCATTACTGTAGTAAGCTCAAAGTTTGGAATATTATAAATGAAATTGCCAGAAAGAAGTCCCAAAGTCCGTAATCATGGATGACACCTGAAGGAGCAAAGATACAATTCCTATTTCTTTCGAACGAGATTTGTTTTGAAATTTAATCAGCTGTTCAAAAAGCTTTACTATTGGGAAAAATCGCAATTTCCTTTGAGATTCCATAATCATGGATTCTAACAGTTTTTGCCCACATGGGGATACAAATAATAAACAAATTATTACAAAGCTCAATTTGATATGATTTGATAGGGTTATCGAAACCTACCCGTGTAGAAATCTCTGCATCTCCTGACAATTTCCCAGAAAATCAAACCCGCCGAATAAACATCTGCTTGTTTAAGCGATGACTCCCAATCATTCCAGTTGATAGAATCACAAAGAACTTCGGGTGGCATGTAAAAGATGTTCCCTCCCTGCGAACCAAAAAGCAACTGAGACTCGACATTTTGATAATATCAATTATGTATTGGGAGTTATTTTCCACACTGTGTAATCAACGATCTGCAGGCGTAATAGTTTTCGGCAAAGTAAAATTGTGAGGTTTTTTTCAAACAAGTAGATGTGGAATGCTAAACACAATAACAGAACTGTTACCTCTACAGTCGGCAGAATCTGCTTTCCAGTGACGTGGACAGCAGTACCAAAATCAGCAAGGACGCAAGTCTCGTCATTTTTGACTAGCACATTGCCGCTGTTCAGATTCCGATGGACAATCACTTTGCGTCGATAGTGATCTATACAAAGAAGAACAAAAACATTCAATGGTTTAGTCGCCTATTCTTTTTATTCCTTCAAAGCAGAATCACTGCCAAAAGTCTTGGAACACTAACGGCAGTTTTCAAAGGCAAATTCAGCCACCCCCCTCTCCCCCTAAGAACAATGTTGATTTACTATAGAAAAAGGAAGGGGTTGTTGAGTACGCTTTTTCGTGTGCCTTGTATGATATTTTTCTATACTTTCAACATTGTTTTGGGGGGAAAGGGGGGCGGAAGTAGTTGCATTCGGGAAAACAAATGAAAAAGAGAAAAGCACAGCGCAAAGTGTTGGGTGTTCCAAGCAATTTTGGCAGTGATTGTATCCTTTTTATTTCTTCAAAGCTAGTATAGCACATTTTAAGGTTTTTTCTAAGCCGATGCTGTCAACAAGGAGAACTTAAAAAACACCCCAGAGCTCATTCTGAAGATACCTGCTAGCTTTAAGAATTCTTAACTTATGTTGCCCCCTCTATACACGAAGCTGCTAGCTCTTCCCACATTCATCTCCCATTTACGGTCAGTATAAACCTCAGCGTGAAAAGTGTCGATTCCACCATGGGTACCTAAGCCATAAGCCACAAAATTTCGAGCACGGAAATGGAACACAAAACGGAGAAGCGGAGAAGCGGAGAAGTGGAGGAGCGTCCTCCTTCTCAGGCAGACGCTTATCCGCTTCCAAGCTCCTATCTTCTTTTTCCGCGCTCGAATTTATGTGACTCTGATACCCAGGATACGCCGATTCAAGTCAATTTAAGAGACTATCATAACATCTATGTTAACATTGCACTGGCGTCTTAATGGCGAAACCGTTGAGCTTCTCCGAATTTTTAGTATCATTGTAGCTGATACTGAGAATTCCTGACTCGCATGCTTATAGAAAGGAGGTCTAAACATTCACGACTTAAGTAACTTATGCAGGTAATTTATTCTTTTCATTATCTTCAAATAATGAATTTGCTTTGCGTAATCCGGGGTTTGCGTATTTCTAACTTGTTCTTTAAATTGTGAGTAATTCTTAACATAGACCTGAATATTTTATATAATTAGTTTTATATTTTTAATGACATTAAATTGATGACAGAAAACATCTTGACCACTAACCGTACTCGTCGATTTCCCCGTGTATGTACGCAACACCACTTGCTAAAGAGAATACCAAATTGTACATTGCTCGCCATGACAAAACATTTGAGGAGAGGAACTGAAGCAGAGACCCGCATGGGTAGTACGTCAGAATTATGGCCTTTCCGGATTTGTAAGGACCAAGAAGTTCCACTCCAGACAGGAACTAAAAGAAATTGAAAACAATAGTTACAATGGCTCAATGGAAAAACAAACGAAGTGTGATAACTTTCTAGAAGGTTAAGCTTATGTTTCTTGAATGAGAAACCATAGCTGCAAGGAATTTACAATAAAAAGTATGAATTAAATTTCGATTTGTCGAATTTGTTTACCATAACATATATATTTTGATAACTAGATGCTCAGTGAAAAACAAACTTGATTGACGTTCGGTTTAAGCCTCGTCACAAATCAGAAAACTTTCATCACGTAAGCCCCATCTTGACTTCTAAGGCGCATAAGGAAATCTTTGCATGGGCCGTATTTAATGCACACGATCTTATCATCCTCACACCTGTCAAGAGACCCACTCGATACGCATGTTTTCTTTGTTTGACTTCAGGGGCTAAGGGGGGGGGCTGCTTAATAGAGAGGGGGACTGATTTTAAAATTTTGGCTTGGTAAGGGAGGCTTACAATTTTTAATTTCATTTTTCACTTTATCACCCTATCAGCCATAGTATAGATAAACTACTTCTACTACAAATTAATTTTTTAATATATATATAAAAAAAGATGTTGCTGTTCGACCAAGGGATCGTGTTTTGTTTTGGAAATTTATTAACTTTGTAGGAATCCCTTCAAGTATTTTGTAAACATGGAAATTGCAGGGCTCATTTTGATGTTTCTTGGAATCTCATTCCATGTTTTGGCCCCGGAGTGAAAGAAACTTCGCTTTGAGGATTCCAAATTTTGCCTTGGGATGTCAATATCAAGCTGATTCCTTGTCGAATACCTGGATATCTCTGATCTAGTAATAAATTTACCTTTAAGGCTGTCAGGGCAAAGACCGTTCATTATTTTGTACGTCATTATGGCCCTGTCATATTTAATTAGGTTCGAAACTGGAAACCATTTACAAATCCAACCGTCCTCAAATTTAGCACTTTCAATTAATGTTTGGGAGGGGGCTTAATAGAAAGGGGGGCTTAATAGAGCTTTTACGGAAGTTAGGTGCTATATTAAGTACAAATATATCTTTATCTATACATTTATATACCTGGGCAACGTTTGGGTGAGCCCCAAGAACATCGTATGTCTTTTTTTCTTTTTTCCAATTCGCGCAGTACTCATGCTTGTAAATTTTAAAAACAACTTTTCTTCCATCCATTTTCGCCGTCCAAATATCAGCAAACTTCCCCTTGTGGATCAAGTTGCTGAAGGAAATGCCATCTGTGCTCATCACAGAATATTCAACGATATCTTCCACAGACTTTTCAACGGGGCGTGCTTTGCTTGGTAGCGTAAGCTTGTTTTTACGGGCGGCGCATCTCCAGCTCACGAACACGATGCTTAGGATGAGAAACGTGGCAAACACGCTCGATATCACCCCAAGAATAACTGTTTCCTTAGGGCTGATATCCTTTACTCTGCTTGCTTTGTGCTTTTTTGCTGTAGGAGAAAAGGAAGAAGGCATAAAGTAAATTTTAAAATTTCAACACCGTTGGCTAAGCTCTCTTTTGAAAATGAAGTTGAATTCCGTAAAGTCGTACCTAAGATAACTCGGACTTTCACAAAGTCAGACTGATTTTCAATACCCATTGAATTTTCCTATCTTGTGCAAGTTAAAAGTCGTACCTAAGATAACTCGGACTTTCACAAAGTCAGACTGATTTTCAATACCCATTGAATTTTCCTATCTTGTGCAAGTTAAAAGTCGTACCTAAGATAACTCGGACTTTCACAAAGTCAGACTGATTTTCAATACCCATTGAATTTTCCTATCTTGTGCAAGTTAAAAGTCGTACCTAAGATAACTCGGACTTTCACAAAGTCAGACTGATTTTCAATACCCATTGAATTTTCCTATCTTGTGCAAGTTAAAAGTCGTACCTAAGATAGCTCGGACTTTCACAAAGTCAGACTGATTTTCAATACCCATTGAATTTTCCTATCTTGTGCAAGTTAAAAGTCGTACCTAAGATAACTCGGACTTTCACAAAGTCCGACTGATTTTCAATTCCCATTGAATTTTCCTATCTTGTGCAAGTTAAAAGTCGTACCTAAGATAACTCGGACTTTCACAAAGTCAGACTGTTTTCCAATTCCCATTGAATTTTCCTATCTTGTGCAAGTTAAAAGTCGTACCTTGGATTAGTCAGAATTCGCCTAGTTTGACCATTTCCTTATCCCAACTAGAAGGTTAGAATTAACAGGATTCAACTCTAGTACTTAAAAGTGAGGACATATCGTATTAAAGATTGAACGTACCACGTGTCTATTTGGACCATATGTAGAACAATCACTTACACTGTTTTGGAAGAAACCTTGTTGCAATACACATAAAGGTGTCACTATGCTATTCAAAGGAACAATTAAATGTGTAGTTAAAACGATTAAAAATCTACCTGGCGATTCACTGTATGCTGTTTGTGACGTCGTGGAGGGCTTTTCCTCCACTAAGAATTGATTCACGTGCGTTGAATTTTTATTACAGACGAATCCCTTGCAGCAACATGTCCTTTCTGTCTTAGAGCCGATCGAGGGTCGAATTCCAAACAGACAGCTACGTTTGTGACAAACTCCTTCCTCAGACTCGGGTCTCAGCCAACAGCCCATCGATATGACATGCAGCTCACCCCGCCTTGTGATATAACCAGTTGTGAAACAATACCTGTTGCCTTCAGGACAGACGACAAGTTTTGGGGCTGTCATGTTCTTGTCGAATGTCTCACAAATGGTTCGGCCGTAATACGACGATTGTTCTGCGCCAGAATTCTCCGGGCCTGGTGACTGGCCATAACCTGGAAAAATAATGTTGAAATGTTTGTGAAAATCTGCAAATGTTTCCAACAAACGGACGCAGAGTGATGCATTGGAGAATTGTGAAGGAATTAACTTTAGGGCTATACTGTCACCTTTATTCTAGCCATAGAGATCGAATTTAGAATATCCTCATATCTCAGTGGTTTATTGCCTTGCATCCTAAAGTTTCCTTGCAAATAACCATACTCCTTCTTTATAAGAACAATTCTTTAAGAAAGCGAGCCTCAAATTGGTCTAAAGTTAAGAACAAATTAAGAACAAGCTGAGGCTGAGCTACTGTAAAATGTGTTTTTGGAAAATGTTGTGAAACTTCTTTCAAAAGTTGCATCTCAAGTACGAGGAGTTTCTTGCCACCAAGAGGTGCTTTTTTCGGTGAATCTTGTCCGAAAATGAAGGATGTTTCACAAATGAGACCGGAACACCTCTTAGAGCACACTAGCTAGCTGGCAGTTTCACTGCTTACACCCAAACAATTAAAGACAAATTTAGAAAAATCAAGTCTCAAAATTTTGAAAAACAGCCAGCTTGAAAATTAAATTACTGGTTCTTATAAAAAAGTGTATGAATTTCTCGATGTTAGGCTCAAAAGTTCCAGAAACTCTGATATAATGAAATCTTACCAATAAACTAACCCCAATGAATCTATACAATGAACAGAACCACTGACCGTTAACCTTACAGCAACATTATCATTATTTCATATTATAGTGATTCATCCCCATCACATTTTCATTCCACCACCACCACCACCCACCCTCTCTCATTCGCCACCCTTCCCTGAGCTGCATTCACACCATTCCACATCAGCCAATCCGACACCACCATAGCCTCTTTTAAATGTGTACATTTTTAGCCCGTTAACTTTTGCTCTGATGAAGCCCCGTATGCCGGGGCGAAATATTAGCTTTCACTGATTTACGTGTATTTATTGTTGTTTATTCTCGGAGTATTGCGGTGTTTCTTATTTGCTACAATTAACTAACCCCAGTCCTAATAATATAAGTTATTTTGATCTTTCTTTCTAAGGTTTTAGATCACCAAGAGCTCAAAATGTGTCAAAATAAATCGAAATTTGACAAATATGGAACCCAGTTAAACGAGAGCTGAAAAACAATGAGAATAAGATTGCAGTTGAATAGCATGCAGTATCATCCCAGTTGACACGTTACAAAACTTTAAAATACAAGCAGATCGTATTTCGTCGCTCAAAAGACTGATTTATGAAGAAATAATTTAGGAAAAGTTTGAGGCAGATATGTAGAATCCGGATAGGTACGATGTTTGGCTAGATGTCATATTCTTAGGTGAGCGTTTTCTGACCCTAGACGACCTGTGATTTGTTAATGTAGTCAAAAAACTTCTCGACTTGTATGACACGAGGTTATTCTGAATATTCTGACAGGATTCTTCAGTTTTGCCGGTTTAACTTGGATTCTGTGGGCACCTGCTGCACCTGTGCGAAGAAATGATCTTGCTAAGTTTTTACGCTTATCGCCAAACAAGCATCGACCAAAGTGGCGATATACTTTAATCTGACAGAAAACGTCGATCTTCTAGCAAGCTACAAATTATCGCCGGCAAAAGACATCTCTTAACACGATCACTATGTCACATGACACCAAACTCTGCTCAGACTTAAGGAGGGTTAGAAAATAACTAGCCTGACAATATGTCCGTCGCGTTGGTAACTTCAGTAGGCACACGGCTTCATCCGCTCTAAAAAACAACTTGAAGAGCCTAAGACGAGTAATGAGCTCTAATTCACTGACAGCTTAGCTGTAATGCCAAACATAACATGATTTACATGGATATTGGCTCTAAAAAGAAGAAGTAGAAATTCTTTATTTGAAAATATTCTTATAACCTATTATTGCAAAAAAGTGGGGGGGGGGGGGCTATATCCCCTAATGGCTGCGCAGTCCCCGACTGATTGTAACATTCTTGGTTGACTTCACAAAAGACTTCCCTCCTATGCAAAAGAAGTAATTGCGATTGGCAAATTGATACATTTTCCTTGCCATCATGATCATTAACAAATAAATAAACAAATAAACAAACAATAAATAAATAAATAAAACAATAAATAAATAAACAGCAAATTCCTTCACATTTCTTTCTAATTTTCATGGATAATAAATGTTTTCCGTTGATGCTTAACTCAAAAGACGTGGAAAGTGATTCACAGCTCAACTGGCAAAAAGCAAACAACAAGGTCTTACAAAGTATTTAGCACATCAAGTTATCTCAAAAAATATATTTCATAGATATTTCGGTAGTTTATTTCTTTGTTTAGTGTTTTAGTTATAAAGTTTTGGTGTGATAGCCAACAGTGGACTAGGTATAAGTACCTCAGTCTAAATGAAGCCTTTGGTGAAGTTTTAAAATCAGTTCTACATTTAACTTTTTCTAGCACTTCAGATTACGCCAGGAAACAAGGTTTTAGTCGCATAACTTACAAAGTTATCGTGCACGACCAAAAACAGGACTGGGTACAAGAACCGTAATCTAAAAATTGTTCGTGTCGAATTTTTAAGCTGTTTTTGCATCTCATTCTACTTTGCACTTCAAATAGCGCCAGAGAAAAGTCTCAGTTTTACAACTTGCAAAGTTTAAACAGCTGTAGTGCTATACCAAAACGAGGGCTGGGAAAGGAGGCATTTTTGAAGCTTGATATCGACTTTATCTTATTAAGCATTCCGGATTGTGTGCTTGTACCAAACTTCATGCTATTATCATAACATGCACAATTCTACTGCCATGCGTCTGAAACTTCAGAAAGCAAGTTGTTTGACAAAAAGAAATGTTTCAATAGCCTTTGCTTTCTGCTTATAGGTCAGATCACATTGCTCTTTTTATAAATTTTGCTTAATTTTGCAAGCTTTTTCTGATGGTCCGATCAGATTTGAAAAATTCAAAAGTAGAAAATTTGGTGACCGTGCATTATTCATGCTTCCGGAAACGCGACTTCCGACCATTTGCCAGAATGTTTCCCAGGTTTAAATTGATCAGCGATCTCTTATGATTTAAATTTTAAAAACTTAGGTTAGGCAGGTTGCTAGATGGTTATGCAGAATTCGCTGTATATGCATATATCGAACTTCCTCTAAAAGCGCCTTGTGGAAATACGGTATCTGCCCCCTTGCTCTGGCATCGCTGCCCGAAAACCAAGCTTACCATGCTTGGGGAATAAATTCCTAGTCTACACACAGTCTGATGTCTCCTTATTAGAAGGAAATCTCTTCAAATTAAATGCTTTGTCCAGGACACATATATTGGTAGCGTTCAGAAGGGTGCAAGCAAACCAAACACGCGATGTGAACACGCAACGACATGGGGGAAACGAAACAATGGCGACAGTGAAGAATCCGGTCAGGAAAATCTGATTAACCTCGTGCCATACACTTCGAGGGGCATTTTGACTGCATAAACGAATCACAGGTCGCCTAGGGTCAGGGAACGATCTCCTAAGAATATGACATCCAGCAAAAAATGATACGTATCCGGATTCTTTATGTCGGTCCGAAACGACAATTTGAAGCATTCAAACTTTGAATGACTAGGCATTTACAGGCGCTATATGAATCAATATGTGACACACAGTTAAGCCTTTATATCGATTTTACATGTCGCTTCTCAAAAAGAGTAACAAACCTCTAGCAAACAGATAACTTATAAACGGCCCATGTTTCAAAATGTTTGCTTTTTTCAAAGCCAGCTCTAGCAAAATGTTTCAAAATGTTTGCTATTTTCAAGCCATTTTAAAACTCCGTACCACGAAAAGATTCTTGGCTGATAACTTTTTACCGGGATTCCTTTAAACCTGGTACCAAGTAATTTTGTACGGCGGCAATAAGCTAAAGCAGATATTTTACTACAAATAACATACCAGTGCTAGCCGCTTGCATCCACAGCAAAAGAATTTGACAGCAATATTTTCGGATCACCATTCTTGGTTGTCAGGTTGGTTTCTTCATAGAACTCACGCCAAACACAACATTCTAGGAGATAAATATAACAATAACTCACTGCTTCACGATCAATGCAAGAAGAATATTTGACAGCTATGGATGAAACTTCAACAACATAAGTTTATACCACACTTACTGGTTCTTTTAGTAGCAAGAAGCAATCTATTTTTGACACCTGTTTTGAATATTTTAACGAGCAGACAGCAGGTCACAGATTGACTCCTCGTGGAGCATCCTCATTTTACGGTAAAAATTATGCAACACATCTAGCCGGGCATTTGACCTTTAAAACAAAACTCGGATGTGACCGTCTACACGCTCGCAGATTGTAAGGATTTTTTAATAAGCATCTATAATAAGGCGTGAATTGATTTTTCCAAACATGCAGAAATGCAAACTTGTCTTTAGCAAAAACATCATCGTCGAAAGATCAGAAATACTATTACATGTTTTAAAATTATGTTAAGTGCCTTGAATAAAGGGGGCGTTGAAATATAAGGAACATTCTGTCCGACACTCTTCGGCGTATAAAACATCGAGCGATGACAAAAAGAGGAGAAGTTTCTGCTTGAAATAAAGAACGGCGCGGTTGATCTACTCTCGTTTTGACCAATCAGCGACCATTTTTCCTCCTATATACATGAATTGTCTAGGAGAGAAAAACAAACTCTCTTTGCCAACACAAATCTGGATCCTGTTGTTGTTCTAATGCAAACAGATTGCAAAAACCAAATTGAAACGCGACCTTCCTGGCACATTGGCTCAAACATTTTCATCTTAGAATGTTTTCGTGCACTCTGAATTCTGTTGCCATATGGCTTAGCGGCATTCTTCACTCGGCATTCCCACGTTCGCAAATACACGGAGACTATTCTCTTTTTATAGTTGTCCCTGGAAAGGAAGGCCGCAAGCAAAGGCCATCGAAAACAAGGTAACTCTAAGACCAAGCCCAAACCACGCCTTTGTTTCTTTGTTTTCTGAGAAAAGTCTCGGTAAACTTTACAGCTTAGAAAAATTTCCCGAGGAATAATGAGCATATTTTTGGACTCTTTGGTTTAGCAAATTTTGAAGGGATACACGGAGATTTGCGGTTCGAAAACTGGAGACGGTGTAAAACAAATTTTGCTCGAGCAGTGTGGTTTTCGGCCAACGTTGTTATTTGTCTAAAAAACATGACAATACACACGAATTCGACCTTGTAAGCCGTTAGGTCTTTTCAAAACACAATATCCAACGCTATTCACTTTCCAAGCGGTAAACTGGACTATTTCTAAGGGTGACAGAAGATGAAACGAAGATATCCCAAGCTAAAGCAACCATTACGAGCGAAATCTTAAATACGCTCAGTTTATTCAATCTGTTCAGTTCGGCTCTCATGTTGTAATATGCGTTATGCGTCATGAGGTGTTCAGGCCTCATTTGCCAGCAAAGTGAGTGAGACATCCTTCTTTTGCAAGTTTGAAAGACCGAAAAAGCAGCCACACATGGCTAAAAATCCTCGTTTTGAGTTGAAACATTGTTAAAATTTGCATGTTACAATGGCTCAGCCTCATTTTGTCCTTCATTTGTTCTTAACTTTTGACCAATCATGAGGCTTGTGTTCATATAAAATTGTTCTTATAAAAAAGTGTGTATACGGTGTTGAGATTTTGCACTATTCCTCCCCAGTATAATATTGGTATCTCTCCTAAATAAACACACCAATCTCCAACTTTCAAAGGGAAAGGGACAGGGGCGTAGCTAGTAGGGGTGTAGGGGGTGAAGAGGGTGGCAGTACATCTTCTTCATCCATGTCTTCGTCGATAAATTTAGCCTTGATGATCAAGTAGTTAGACCGATATCAAAAAGGGCTAAATTTAAACCTTGAATACATGAAACTGAAACATCTAAGCACTGAAACAGCAATTGTTTCTCTTTTAAAGCCTACAGAGCAGCTTTAAAGTCAGTTTAATCATGATCCTTACTGTGTGAAATGATTTCTTTTCACGATGGATTTTCTTAAAAAGCGCTTAGAAAGCAGAGTATTCATATTTTTAATTTAACCTTTGAACAAACATTAACAGTTTTGATAGTTTAATGGATTCGATTGGTTTTTCTAACGTTTCATACAGTCAAACAAGTGGAAAGGGGTTCCAACAATAAATTCTCTTTGCATGTTGATTCAGCTGCATGGCTAACAAGTGATAATCTTTGTTTTTCAATAATCTGTCTTTTATCTTCCCATTAAATCTTTGGTAAATATAATTTCACATCAAAGCTAGTTTCATTATTCTACAAGCAACTTCCATACGTGCTGTAGAATCAATTATAACTTTTTTTGTCAAGCTTTTTGTTAAAACCAAATTACAAGCATTTTGCTTTTACCTTTTGCAGGTGTGCCACCAGTCGTTTCAAATAATCTGTAATGCTTGTGATATTAGCAATTGAAGCTCCTTTCCTTCTGTTCTAGGCAATTGGCATGATTTTGAACATCACACCTTTCTATTGGCAACTTTCATCAATTCAAAAATCTGTGTAATCAATAACAGAGGCCCTAGAGCTAAGTCGTGAAGTGCACCATACTTTACAAGTTGGCTCCAAGATTTGAATATACACAGCAACTTCAACCCTGAGAGGTTTTCACATCTCAGGTACCATGCATAGGAAACTTTTCAATAATATATTCAATATTATTTTTTTGGAAACTCTTAAAGAAAGATGAAAATAAAATAAGACTGATTAAAATCATTTGGGATTTGGTAGCAGGTAACTGGATTCAGATTCTTAGGCAGTTGTGCGGAAATTGTGCAGAAGTTGTGGGGCATGAAGAAGTTCCTCCCAGACCTGTTAACTCTCCCAGATTTGCCAGCAAGGATTAAGGCTTTGCTTGTTTTCTCCCTGCCCCCAGTTTTTAAACCAGAACCAGCTTTCTCCCTGGTTCTCCTTTTTCTCTTAGCAGAGGTATTTATAAAGTAAAACTGATCACAACAATCTTCTTTATGAAATTTTTTTTGTCATGCTTACAAATAACCAAAAAACACTAGAAATCATTACAAAGAAGTTTCTCATGATGAAAATCTCTAGGTTTGAAAATTTTAGATTGACAGGTTAGTGCTCTTTGACATGTTTTCTGCAACAAAGTATCTACCGGGGCAATTAATTGACTGCAAGAATACATTGTCTCAAGATAAGCAAATCATGCATCGTCTTAAGATAATACAAAAACTGTAAAAGTTCATTTCCCTTCAGATGATGTAGACATCACTATTTTCTTTGTATCCATGTTCAAGGAAAGTTCTGACAAAATAAATGAACTACTAGACTGGCGAAGCCACCCAGGTTTCATTAGTTTGATACTTAATATAAAGTAGACTCCAGTTATAATCGGACCAAAACTTGCTTGAAAATTTGTGACAGTAACTGAAGTGTGACTGCAAATGAAGCTAGATTGAAAAGTTTTGCCAATCTGGATTTAATTTTTATCTGCCTGTAGCCAGCAGTGTGTTTTTAAGTGGACTGTAAAAAATAAGAGTTGACTGCATTTTCTACCATTTATTTATCAAATAAATTGTATCATTATTTAGATCAGGGAGATCTAAACATCAGTGATCAGTGCAGATTACATGCCTTAACTGCTGATGAAAAATTTTCAATGTGTCATTTTTTATCAAGAAATCAAGGAGTATATATTGTTGGTGTTACTTTGGAGCAAACAAGAGATTTGTTGTGGTGTGTACATCAATTGCTTGGAACTGAGTAGCAACTTTGTGACAGCCCTTATGCTACTCTTCAAGAAATTGTTCATTACAAGTATGGTAAGAAGTAAACTTATGTTGTAGAAATTTGTCATGAAATATTTAAAGACCTTTTCAAGAAGAAGGGAAAAATCCAGGATTTGTCACCCAGGATTAGGAAAATAGGCATTGAAGCTTCATTGTGAATAAGCTAGCAATGTTGTTAAAGTTCAGATATTGACTTTGGTTTAAAATGTTGAGTTTGGGAACATCAAAGAGAATGGTTGGTCTGATGAAGGAGAAACTGCTTGGGTACGGAGGTGAATGAGAAATTGTCTGTAAATCCAGGCAATGTGGTAAATTTCAGAGAAACAGATGATGCTAAAGCAGAACTCCAAATGACTTGATAATGAAGATTGTAGTTATGGTTCCAGACGACAGGGATATATGAAATAGATAGAAAGAATAGACACATAGCTACCTAAGAAAAAAAAGTACAAAATTACACTAGATTACATGACCTGGGTTTATGCAAATCCTTTCTCCTATGACGAACTTGCCAGTGCTTTTAAGGTGGGTAAAAGAGAAAGTTAACAGAAAACTTCTTGCATCAGTTTGATAAGAAGACAAC